CACTACCACTCTCATTCTACAATGCCAGGCTCCCACTACCACTCTCATTCTACAATGCCAGGCTCCCACTACCACTCTCATTCTACAATGCCAGGCTCCCACTACCACTCTCATTCTACAATGCCAGGCTCCCCCTATCAATGTCATATCATAGCAGACTGCGCCTCCCTTGACCCAACCCCATTCCTCACGCCTCCCCATCTACCACCTAAAAGCCATACAATCAGCCCCCACCCCCTCTCTGCTTCAAAGATATTATCATTGATTAGTCTACAATACAAGCTGTCCAATTTTACAACCAGCAAATATTGAGCCAACGTTTCACAGCACAGGGAATTAATCAAACCAGGCTTAATCAAAATGGTTTTCCTGCTGTCAAGAGCTTAGTTTAGTGAAAATACATGTGAGTGATCAACTGGATGATCTTGAATTTCACATTCAACTGTGCAGAAATCTGATCAGAATAATTAAGATTTTATTATTTTAAAAAATGAGATACAGTTTAAATGGAGATGTTGGTAAGTTTCTTACAGAAATAACTTGATATAAAATCAAATCATTTTCTGATATCCATTTGGTTATTTACCCAGGTTATTTTTTTATTTCAAAATTTTTATTTGGTTTTTTCTTCTAGCCACCATTCCCTTTTTTTTATTATTCACCCCCAGTCTTTCTCTTTTGTTAACATAATTTCATGTAAATTTGCTTCAAGGCTTATGAGGTTTTGATATTTTGACACAGCTTGATTTGTGATATGAATGGAGCAGACTTCCTTCAATTATTATTTTCCGAAAGTTTTTTTTTTTTTTAAATTTATTCTCATGGCTAGATCGTTATTTTTAAGTGCCATTGGTCAACTACTGGTATTTAAATCTTTATTTGAACAAACTATATATAAATTCTTTTTTTAGTTAATTCTTAATTCTTTTCAGTGGCAGTCATTATCTTGTTAGATTTAAGATTAAATTTTTTGTTTAGACCTCTTGCATTCATAAGATAGGGAAACTTTTTGTTAAATTAGAGATTTTATGTATTTTCCATTTGAACAGGTTTTGTTAAACAGTTTGGCTCTTTGGATGCGACAGCCATGATGTCACAACTTCGATCCAGCGGTGCTACGGTCATGACGGTGCGGGAAGTGCAGGACATGTTCCGCACAGACTTGGAGCAAGGTCTAAAGTCAGAGGAGGCTCGAAGGCGTTTGGTGGTGCATGGACCCAACAACTTTGATATAGCTGTTGAGGATCCACTTTGGAGGAAATATCTCGACCAGGTGAGACTAAAAAAGATTTACTGCTCTATTAATTTCATTTTATTCACATAAGTTAATTAAAATGGACATTTTCTAATTATTTTTGTGATCAAGTTAACAAAGGGGCTGTTCTGAACTTGAAATATTCACTCGAGTCTAGAGATGTTTGAAGTCTTATCCCAATTATAAAGTGTGTGAACGATTGGTCAATCAGTGTCCACAAGGGAAACAGTTCTGAATCTTGTTGTGGTTTCTCATCTTTATAACTATTTGAATCACAAGTGCATTTTCATGGATTTGTATCTAGTCGTAAATACAGTAGAACCTGCCCAAAGGGACCATCAATAGGAACAGCTAAAAAAAAGTCACATCAAAGTTGGTGGTCACTTTATGCAGGAAGAGGATATAGGTATTATTTAGCAGGGACCATAATATTAATGTCACATTTGCGTGTGCACACCCCCCCCCCCCCACACTAGTTTTTTTTTACACAAAATGTTTGTTACACTAGTGGGACCCTATCAAAATCTTTATAAAATATTTATAAGTATAAGAACAGTAGTCTACGTTGAGGTCAAATATCTGTCTCTGTGTCCTTTCAGTTTAACAATCCGTTGATATTGTTGTTACTGGCATCAGCTGGGATCAGTTTGTTTATGAGACAGTTCGATGATGCTATAAGTATAACAGTGGTAGGTAAAACTTTTTTATTTTTCCATGCCTCTAAAGGTTTTCATTTTTTAATGGTGTTAGTTTTTATGTCACATACTAATTAGATGTCCGTATGTTGTGTTAAAACAGAAGCTTTGGTCCTCATGATTTTAATACAAATTTTAAAGGACACAATTATTATATGGATTATTTTTGTTCTTTTAGGTCATTTCTGTTTTTAAAAAAAAGATTTAATTTCATATCACACTGAAATACATTTTAACATATTCATTTAGACATCTAAATGTATCAAGTGGTGATATTTAAAATAGTTAATGTAAGAATTTGTCAGTCTCCAGGAAAGAGCCAGTTTTGGTTAAACTAATTTTTCTTGATTGTTGTAAAACTAATTGCATGGCTCACTTTCTTCTATCAATCCTTCATGTTAAGTAATTGAGTCAAGCAGTATACGTGACTCGGAACTGTGGTGTGAAAAGATTGCAATACCATCTGAGTATGAGGTTAAAGTTACTTATTCAAGGCTCTATACGTGTTTAATGCATCAGTTCAAGTCATTTTTTTCACTATTATTAAATCCCTATCCATGCCAGCATTCATGTTTTTTGTGTGTCTATTTCAGGCCATAGTGATAGTGGTTACAGTCGCTTTTGTACAGGTAATGTTCTGAAGTTATTCATCTATTGTGTCATAGAAATGTTAGGTCCCTAATAGATTTAGTTTATTTTTTTTTAAAATGTCCTCATCTTTCATTTTTTTTTTACTACTAAAGTAGAGAAAAAGCCAGACATTTTACGGGATTGATCTTTGAGTTATTTTTAAAAAACAACAACCACCAGATGATATTTTAATGCTCTCTTAACTAAAGGCTCTGGGCTGATAGGCATCACACTGAACATATTGACATTGACTTTTATTGCAGGAATATCGCTCTGAGAAATCATTGGAGGCACTTACAAAACTTGTTCCACCTAAATGCCATTGGTAATTATGTATAATGTTTTAATGGCTGTTGGGTTTTACCCGCAGCATACTAGTCTTGCTTCTCTTTCCTCATAAGCCTGTCAGTAAAATGCAGTGTTTTATAAATTATTATTTGGATGAATTCCAAAATGTATAGTTTCCTGCACCGAAATTTAAGGTATACAAAAATAAAAAAGTTTGGAGAATAAGAAGAAATAGGATATTTTGTAAAAAAATGATTTTTTTCCTTGGCTTATTAGGGTTCCTGCAGCCTCCTGAAATTCCAGCATGTCCTTGAAAATTCCTGAAATTTAAACAAATATTTAAAAAGTACTGGAAAACTCATCAAATTATATACAATTTTTTCTTAAATATTCTGCCACTTTTTTGTTATAGGGAGTAGTAAAAATATCTTGGTCGCAATAGTTTTTTTTCGCCTTTCTATTCGACGTCTATTTTTAGCCCTTCTGTTATCAAAGAGATTTTGCCATCAGGCTAGTGGTTTCCCCTTAACTGCTCATGCCCTTCGCTTTTTATTAATTTGGTATCCGAAATTAATAGAGAGCTGATGCCGCACCTATTATCCAGTGAGCCTGACATAACTTCTTCTGACTTCTTGTTTTATTAGTTTAGTATGGAGAGCAATCATGACTGAACAAGTCATCACTCCTACTCCTACACTGTACTGGAATCTCAGGAGTTCTAGGGGGCCGTTTCGAAGTGAAAATGTTTAATAAACGTCAATCATCAGTTTAGATTTCATCTAGTTCAACTTCAGCTTTATCACACATCTTAGGTGTCCACCTCTGCAACTTCTAAGTCAGGCTCTCTCAATTTATATGAATTTTTTGTAAATAAATATTACTTATTTGTGATTCAGATGGATTATTTTATAACTTTATTAGTTGTTTGTTGTCAAACATCAATTACATCTTCTAAGGAACAAGTTAATTATGTGTGTGAATCATGTTAAATCAAATAATTGTTTTAGCAGTCCTTGGAGGAAGTACTATACAAGTGTATTTATTTCCAGTTAATACAAAAGCATATAGGATATTTTTTTTAAAAAATAAAATTTTTAACATTTCCTGGAAACTAGTATTATCTCCTGGGAAAAGTCCTGAAGTATTTTAAAAATTTTGGTGCAGGAACCCTGTAAATAATACCAATAAATCATTTAATATTACCAAAATAAGATTTTCTGCATTTTTATAAGGTAGAATTATTATAATATTTAAGTATACGAGATGGACACCTGATGACATTTTTGGCCCAAGACCTTGTGCCGGGGGACATTATTCACATTGGCGTTGGTGACAGAGTGCCTGCTGATATTCGTTTATTTGAGGTCAGTATTCTACTCTTACTTAATTATATCTACAAGATATTTAAACATTGTGACTACAATCAGTAATTTTCTCTACCACTATTTCTGAACGAAGTAACACACCATGAACATAAAAATTTAAGTATAATCTAAAAATATTGAAGAGAGTCTCCAAATTGTTTTGGTTTGGAATATAAGAGAAAAAGTTTTTATTTAAAAAATAATAACTAGCTGGAGATTTAAAAAAAAAAAATTTGTTAATGTTGATGGGTTTATATTAAATCAGTTTTTTTTATAACATCTTGAAAATTTAAAAAAAATAAGTGTGTCCCTTTCTTTGTTTTTTGTTTAATGGCATTATTTGATCTGCTTTTATTTTCACAATCAGGCTTCAGGCCTAAGCATCGATGAGTCAAGTTTCACTGGAGAGATTGAACCAGTCAACAAGCAGACAGATGTCCAGGCTTTGTCAATGCTCTCCAACTTGAGTGAGAGAAGGAACATGGCGTTCATGGGGACATTGGTCAGGTGTGGCCAGGGAAAGGTACGTTGGTGTTGAGGGACTTCATCTATTTGAATCCTGTATAAATACATCAACAGTTGAGTGCTTATTTTAAGAAGAGCTAACGATTCTAACTTGTCTTTTTTATGTAAACACATTTCAGGGTATTGTCATAGGTACAGGCCAAGATTCAGAGTTTGGAGAAATTTTCAAGATGATGCAGGCAGAAGAGGTTGGTTCACTTTATCAAGTACATCGTCCACCTTAATTTTTAATTTTTGTTAGCAAATTAAGCTAAAAGCTCAACTCTCATTTCTTGCTGGCAAATCTAATGCAAGTGTGGCATGCTTAATGAGCTGTGCAAAAATAGTATTATGGAGTGATTTATAAATGTTTTGCTTTTATAGTTCACCTTAAGACACCTAAATCAAATGCACCAACCTGCGTATTTCAGGCTCCTAAGACTCCATTACAAAAGAGTATGGATACCCTTGGCAAGCAGCTGTCCTTTTATTCATTTCTAGTGATTGGAATCATTGTCATTATAGGATGGATACAAGGCCGGAAGATCCTCGATATGTTTACCATAGGTGTTAGGTAATATTGGTAGATTTTGACTCGGACCCCAACATGTGGAATATGGCATTTTGCTACACTTAAGTCCCGTGTATAATCCTTAAGCTTGCATCTACTGATAATCATTTCTTGGTTTATTTTTAATTGATGTGACTGTAATGAAAGTTCATTTCAACTTGCATCATTTAGCTACAGTAAACTCTGTTTATATCCCGGAGCCTGCTTTATAAAAATATATTTATAGCTATAGATAATTATTTAAAAAAAAAAAATTCAGATCATGATTGCTGACAATAAATGTTCTATGAAACTTGCATCCAGCCTGGCTGTGGCTGCCATACCCGAAGGACTTCCCATCGTTGTAACTGTCACCCTGGCCATAGGTGTCATGCGTATGGCCAAGAGAAAGGCCATCATCAAGAAACTGCCTGTTGTTGAAACACTAGGTGAGTGAGGCTGTACCAGTGCCGTGTCCTTAAGATGAGCCTGGTCACAAGTTCATATTCACATATATGTGTTAGTTGTAGAGGTTTGTCTGGTTACTTCTAAATTGTTCTGTGGAGGTAATGTTATGTTAACTGTACCTTTTAAAAGATGACCCACAAAAGCCTTTTAAATTTTTAAATCGGTTAAAGTTACATATAGTTGATTTCTTTCTTTGAACCAATAATTGTGACAACATCAGTGACATGTAAAGTGGTTTGCTTACGAGTATGTCCATACTTTTTGTTGTTTGTTTTATGCCAGGTTGTGTTGATGTTATTTGTTGTGACAAGACGGGAACCCTCACCAAGAACGAGATGACGGTAACTCACATCATAACATCTGAACACTACCATGGTGAGGTAAGCTGCTCCACTAATGTAAGGGCTGAACTGTGAGCTAATATAAGCCATTTCATAGTGGTAACATATGATTATACAGAAGCAATCTAATTTGTATAGATAGAAAAAATAAGGGGTGTACAGAGGTGAGCTTCTTTTTTACTGTTCGGACAAATTTGAATGATGACTTTATAATAGGTCTACTAACATTTTATTGATTTTAGAGCTTGTGAAAAAAAAATAATAAATAAATAAAAAGCTCTTATTTTCAAGATTTTCCCTGGGTCTTGACAAAGGGAAATTATAATACTTCAAAAAAAATAAAATAAAAAAATATATTCCAAAAGGTTTGATTTTGATATTTATAAATAAAAATAAAAGTAGGAAGGAAATATATATTATATATCATGAAGGACTAATTTTATAAAAATTGTAGAAAGAGAAATGAAATTAGAATGGGAATAATAAATTTTAATAAGTTATATTTTTAAGTACTGGATTGCTGAAAGTCTTAGTATAAGATCAGTATGGCGGTGTCAGTGAGGCAAAGCATTAAAAGGTGCTGATTAACAGATGCACCGTTTTTATTTCAGGGAGTCCTTAGCATATTTAAAGGTTTACAACATTCTCTGCCTCCACCCTCGATGATCGGTTGATTCATATTTTTGGCACCAAATTTATCATCTGAACAATAGGATTAGTTAATTTAATCATTATTTGGCACCAGATCAAATAATATTCTGTAACTCTTTAGAAAAGCTATTGAAGATTTGACTCAAACCGAGGGCAATAATTTTCTATAATATTAATTATTTTAGAACACACAAGAAAATCTAAATAAAAACTTTTGGCAATTTCAGCTGTCTGGAGTGGGCTACAACACACCTGGAGATCTTAGAATAATTGAGGCTTCCTCCATGGTTGACACTGAGGAATGCATGGACTCATTCAGGAAAATTATTGAGGTAAGTGTCTGGGATTTATTTAAGAGTCACAAACTTGGGCCCATAAAAAAAATCTCACACACAGCCACGAAATTTGTGGTCCGGTGGGGTTTAAAGAACACAATTAATGATTGGTTTTTCAGTCTTTCATCAGTATAGTCTATAGGCTTTGATTTCTGGGTATTACTATTTTAAGATCTAGATTTGAGTGTCTGTGCTATTTATGGGGTTAGTTTCAGGGTCAGAACTACTTTTCATAAGTAAACTATTCTTTCGGTCGTTGTTCGGTTTTGTTTTTTTAACAGCATTTTATAGCACAATATAAGCGCATGAATTTTGTTTTGTTGCTCAGTGTTCTTTCAGTCAATGTGAGTAGGTCAGCACCAAATCAATAGTAATTGTGTAGGTCAGTATCAGCACTGGGGTAACATCTGTTTGACCCTGCAAGCTCTCCATTCACAGATTGGTTGTGTTTGCAATAATGCAGAGTTGACAACTGATGGCCTGATGGGCTCACCGACAGAAGGAGCACTATTAGGAGCAGCATCGAAGGTTTGCTTTATATCTAGGCTCACTCTCCTTCATAAAGAAGAATACATTTTTAAAAATATCAAATTTTTAATTAGTCAACATAAATAGTTTGTAACTGGACAATGCTGGAACCCAATAGGTGTTTAAACAATTTTGTCCCCAGGGGAAATGTTTAAAAAAACACATTTGGATTTTAATTATGACCTTCGCAAAGGTTTTGTTGTGATTGGGGGGGGGGGGGGGTTCTTTAAAAGTTGAAACCAACAGAAATTAATTATATCATTTGTTTGTTTGTTGCAGTTAAAGCTACTTAACCCAAGGCAGCAGTATGTGAGAGATCAAGAGTGGCCATTCAGCAGTGATACAAAGATTATGGCTGTTAGATGTCATCATTATTTGGACAAGGTGAAACTTTCATTATACTTAAAGTGTTCTTGTGAGGAGGCACCCATAGGGCAAAAGCATTTTGATATATATATTGATTTTATTTTCATTTTTTTGTCTGTAAAATGACAGCTCAACTGCTGAAACTTGGAACTTTTAAAATAATAAAAGCCAGGATGTGAAACTGTTGAAAATTTAGGTTTTGATTTTTTTTAATATAAAAGTCAAGATTTCAATAAGTTTGAATGAACCCAATGTAAAAGTATTAAAAATAAAGGTTTTTATTTATTTCTCATACATAAATTCCTTGACCGGCGCGGGGGAGGGGGGTGTGTATATGCATGGGGGGGAATTAAATGTTTGATTCATCTTTGTTAGAGGAAGATGTAGAAAGTTAATCTTTTAAATTTTTAGCATATTGAATGAAAGTCATTTAATTAGCCTTGCATGCTTGAAATTAAAAGTGCATTCCTGATGCTCTAGTGGAAGTTGAAGTAACAGTTCAAGGGTTACCGGAAATTTGCTTGAAAGAAATTTCGTCAACGGAAAATTGATCGGCGCAAGTTTGATCAAAAGGAAATTTTATCAAATTTTTTTTTAGTAGACACGATCAAATTTTCGTTATATTTCTTTTTGAATGCGCTATAAAACCTATAAGCCATCCAAGCAAGGTCATGCTGAAGGTCATATTGAACCGACTAAAACCATATGCCGACAGAATCATTGCTGAAGAACAGGCGGGCTTCAGACAAGGACGGGGCACTACTGAGCAGATTCTAAACCTCCGAATACTGTGTGAGAAATATGCTCAACACCAACAAAACCTATACCACGTCTTTGTGGACTTCAAGAAAGCATTCCACAGGGTTTGGCATGCTGCTTTATGGGCCACCATGAGGCACTACAACATCAACACAAACCTAACCAGCATGATATGGCCACCAGTGCAGTCTTCCTCAACAACAACATCGGGGAATGGTTCAAGACCATGGTTGGAGTACGACAAGGCTGCCTGCTCTCCCCCACCCTGTTCAACATCTTACTAGAGAGAATTATGTCAGATGCTCTGGAAGCACATGAAGGGACAGTCAGCATTGGTGGTAGAATAATCACCGACCTACGCTTTGCTAAAGACATAGACGGACTGGTTGGGAACGAAGAAGAGGAGCTAGCCAACCTGGTAAAGCGTCTCGATAAGACCTCGTCGTCCTACGGCATGCTAATCAGTGCTAAAAAGACAAAACTGATGACAAATAACACCACAGGCATCACCACTGAAATTAAGGTCGGGGAGGAAAGACTAGAGACTGTCGGCCGCTTCAAATACCAAGGAGCAATAGTCTCAGAAGAAGGCTCCAAGCCCAAACTGATGTCCAGGATGGCGCAGACTACAACAGCACTAAAGAGGCTCAAGAAAATATGGAATGACAAAAATATAGCCCCCAGCACCAAAATCAGGCTGATGCGCTCATTAGTCCTCTCCATTTTCCTGTATGCCTGCGAATCCTGGACATTAATAGCCGATCTTGAAAGGAAAATAAAGGCGATGGAGATGAGATGCTTCAGAAGCATTTTTGGCATCTGCTATATAGGGACCATATCTCCAATGATACAGTGAATGAAAGGGTTCGCCAGGCAATTGGGGAGTATGATAACCTACTGGTGACTGTGAAAAACCGCAAACTACAATGGTAGGGCCACGTAACAAGGAAACAAGGGCTTGCCAAAGAAATATTGCAGGGCACCACAAGAGGAGGGAGAAGAAGAGGAACACAAAGAAAAAGATTGGAGGATAACATCAAAGAGTGGACAGGACTAACACTGGGCGATGCTGTGCGTAGTGCAGAAGACAGAGAAAAATGGAGGAGGATAATTCACATGTCATCTGTGGTGCCCCAACGGTCTAAAGACTAAGGGACATGATGATGATAAAACAAAATAATATGTTGAAAAAGAAATTTGACGTAAAATTTGATCGTGTGAACTGAAAAAAAAATTGGACGAAATTCCGTTCGATCAAACTTCCGTCAATCAATTTTCCGCCGACGAAATTTCTTTCGATACGCAGTTTGAGTTCTTTATCATGTGATCAGAATGACAGCTTTCATTGTTTCCCTCCAGAAACAAAGCTACATTTTCGTGAAGGGCGCCATTGAGCGGGTCCTGTCCAGATGTGCTTATTACCAAAAAAATGGCACTGCAGAAGACCTCAGTGATGAGCACAGGGATGCTTTCAATGAAGAATCTCTTCATCTGGGGCAGACTGGTCTGAGGGGTGAGTAGACAGATCAGCATTGAGCTCTAAATGTCAAACTCTGTTAAATAGAAATAAACAAGTCAAAATACGTTAAATGACCTTACCTAATACCATAACTTTTCCCAAGTGTATTTTTGCTGTAGCATCAAGCCATTTTTAGCATTTTCACGTGCTTGTCAGAAATAACAAAATCACATACTAAATAAATTCAGAAACCCCCTAGAAGTATACATTTTCTGAAAGGACATTGGACAAGGTGTGCTATGATATGAAAATAATTTGTTTTTATAGTATGTAGTGTTTATATTGACCTTCACCTTTACAGAATGGGTACAATTTTTCTATTCAACTTCTGAATTCAACCCAATCTAATGCTCCATACATTTTTAAAACTATTATAAAACCAAAGTTTTGAGATACCAGAAGCAATATTCTTTCAGAAAATGTCAAGTTAATAGGTACTTATATTGAAAATTGTGATATTGGTGAATTTGTTTAATTCATTACCTTCAAATTAATGTCAAACAAAATGCAAGGGGGAGTGCATGAAATTGGTCGAAAATTCCTTTTCAATTCAAGTCATTAAATCTATTATTTATTAATTAATACTCCAGAACATACACAAACATAAATGTCTTTGAATCTCTTGAGGGTGGGTCTTTACAATCCAATCTTTGTCTTTTTCTGTTCGATTTCCACACTTTCCCAAACGAATTTGTCTGTAAAAATACGACTAAGCTTAGGACTTAAATTATTAATACCTGACTCTTATGTCACCATCACCGCTAGAGCTAATACTGTCATTACTAGAAGGTGGAATGTCTCTGAAATCAGTGCTTTCATTTCAATCCATTTGAATAGTTAAAATAATAAAATTCTGTTTTCAATCTGTTTTGACACCACAGGAAGGGGTATGGTGACAGTTACAGGGTTAAATGAATCTTGTTACTGCTAAATAAATATAATTCATATCCAGCTGGTCAAAAGAAAAAAGTAAACTCAAAAGGTGTCCATTTTAAACATGGTTACAATGGAAAACAATTTAATTTTTTATAATTGTACTCCATGTTGAATGTGGTGCTGAACTTTGTCAGGGTAAATTCAAAGTATGTGTTCGGAAGCTGATATTCAGCTTTAAGTTCTCATGAGAATTACTCTAATTAAAACAATTCCATTTAACTAAGTTAGTATTTATGTAACGTTGTAACTGTATTATTGTTGCATCACCTTCCCTTAGGCACCTCCCCTCCCTTTCAGGTGCCTGATAAAATGTATGTATGAGCCCTTAATAGATTTTTCTAAAAGCCATGGCATCCTTGTGTAATTTTTTTACTTTACAACTACTATTTAGATGCTGATGATTTATTTTGAAATTGCTGCAATGCATGTCCAATTATTTCTACAGTTCTTGGTATGGCCTACGGCAAAGATATGACATCACTGGTGTTTGCTGGGATGGTTGGCATCATGGACCCACCCCGTGAAGGGTCACGCCAGGCCATTCTCATGTTGATAGGGATGGGGGTCAAGGTCAAAATGTTGACAGGGGACGGGGAGGACACGGCCAAAGCTGTTGGTAAGTTTAATATTTTGTCCCTTAATAACAGAACCTTTTGTTCTTGGGACAAGTTCAGCTTGTTTGGGATAGATGGTTGCGACACCTGGGTATAAATCCAAGTGCCTAAGCTTTTAACTTTGTGTTTCTTTTTTTTTTTACTCAATTAAAAAATCAAGAGTAGTTGCCAACATCTTCACCGACACCCCCCCCCCCCCCCCCCATAGTTTGTTGGTTGTTTTATTAACTTGATCTTTTGAAGTCTTTGATAAATAAATACTTGGAAATCATACGTCATGTCATGTATATATATATCGAGGGTGCTGGGTGGCCGAGCCGTCTAAACTGAGTCGATATCAAGCTTGTGGACCGAGAGTTCAATCCCCAGCAAAAAACCTAGACAAGCAGAAGCAACGCCAGCACCCTGGGGTGGATGGGACTTGTTAACCTTTGATAGCTACTTATCCCTTAGGTGGTATGACATTGACACAGGGAAAATTCTGACAACCCCTGCGACGTGGGACACATAAAAAGCAGTGAAAAACAAATAAAAATAAAGAATTTAAAAAAAAAAAAAACCCACTGCCATTCATCTACTGCATCCTTGTCTAGTCTATTTCCAATCTTGTGACAGTGTGTCATGTATATACTTTGAATGTGTTACAGTTTTAAACATATTGAAATATTTTTGATTTCCCAACTGACAGCTGCAAGGGTTGGTCTGTATGCTGAAGGTGGCACAACTATGTCGGGTGATCTCTTGGATGATATGGATATTAGCCAGTTAGCAAAGGTCATTGATAACGTCAGCATCTTTTACAGGGTAACCCCTCGGCACAAGCTCAAAATTGTCAAGGTATATTTTATTTCAGTATTGTAATATTTTGATACTTTTAAAAATTATTACGGAAAGATCTTCAATAAATTTCCCATATACTACAGTTTAAGCGCTTTGAGTGTTTGCCATACCCATAATGATCTCCTATTGTGCACCATGCTCTCAGGCCCTGCAAAGCAACCATCATATTGTGGGGATGACGGGGGATGGCGTGAATGATGCTGTAGCTCTCAAGACAGCTGAGATTGGAATCTCCATGGGGAAAACTGGAACAGATGTCTCTAAAGAGGCAGCAGATATGATATTAGTAGATGATGATCTTGGTACCGTTTTGTAAGTTTTATTTGGTATTCTCTCTGTTGTCTTAATGTTGTTGTTACTGCAGCTGTCAGAATGGCCTGGGAATATGTCTGTTGTCTTGATACTGCAGCTGTCAGAATGACCTAAGCTTGTCTGATGTCTTTATGCGTTTGGTACTGCAGCTGTCAGAATGGCCTGGGATTATGTCTGTCTTTATACTACAGCTGTCAGAATGACCTAAGCTTGTCTGTTGTCTTTATGCTGTTGGTACTGCAGCTGTCAGAATGGCCATTGTAGATTTATTTACTCCTTTCCTTGTCCTTAATGTTTATACAATTTAATTGGATGTATTATTTATATTATAGATTCATATGTATTTAAAATCAACATTAAATATATAGTTATACTCCAAAATTAATAGTTTCAATGAAAATCCTGCAAAAGAAGAAGTAGTTGCCTTAGGTCATTTCTTCATGCATGATAGTCACTGTTCAAATAAACACTTGAATAAATTATTTTAATCCACAATTTTTTTTTAACAGGGCAGCAATTGAAGAAGGGAAAGGAATTTTCTACAATATCAAAAACTTTGTTAGATTTCAACTGAGCACGTAAGTAAACAAAAATGTATGCCCATAATATTGCTTCATGAATATTAAAAATATTTTCTGAAAATTGAATTTCGTGTGATATAAAAATTGACTTGATTTCAATTGAGCTTACTTTTTTTGTTTGTTAGGGATAAGATCAAGCAGAAAAGGCAATCTGGCATTTCAATATAATGATGGTACAAAATATACAGAAATAACTAGTGAATTAAAAACAATTTATGTAAGCCACATGAGACAAAAATGAGTGACAAAAATGTTACAAAAAGAAAGCAAAGCTTTTCCAAGTTTGAAAATAAGAACATCCTTGAAGCAATCAATTTTTTTTTATCAATGATGAACTCAAGATGAAAGTAATTTACGATAGGTCTCATTTTGTTCACTCCTGTCTTTTATCTGACAGCTGAACGTTGAACAAAATTCCCAGTAAACAAATCTGTATAGCACCAGACTATATTAAAAAAAAATGATGGACATTCAAATCTGTTGGCAAAAAAAAAAAAATTAAATCCAGTAATTGGAATCTGCTATCTAAAGTAAATTAAATACTACTGTACATGAATATTCTGCTTTTGTGGTTTATGGTATAATATGCTAAAACACAATGCAATTAATTTCCCTAAAAATAGGTTTGTTTTCTGTATTGTTATTTTCTATTTTGAAGATTGTGAAGGATCACTTGGTCATTCATTTGTTTGGTCATTCAAGACGTTTCCTGTTTTTAGTGACCTCCCCCTCCCCCTCTCACTTTTAAAAGACAAATTCTTTGTTTATTGTGGTGTGAAAAATTCTTATTGGCACAATTTATATAATCTTTTGGTCTAGCAGCAAATGGTCAGTTTTATTCAAGTAAACATTTGAATTTTGTTCTCAGGAGTATGGCAGCCTTGTCTCTAGTAGCGATAGCTATGGTCATGAGATTGCCCAATCCACTTAACGCCATGCAGATATTATGGATCAACATAATAATGGACGGTCCACCTGCTCAAAGGTGAGTGATCTTCCATTTCTAGCACCACGGTCGTCGATTTTATGTTTCAGGGTGTTCAGTGCTGGTCTTAGTTGAGGCAGAAAGTCTTTCAACTCACATTTGAATTGAGCTCTCTCCCAAACAATGGATATAAATAATGTGACATCCAAATTACCTTCTTGCAAACTCTGAATATTTGTATGTTTAATCAATTTAAAAGATATAGATGATTCTGGAAATGAAATGTATAATATATGCCTATGGCATCCTAAAATGACAATTTTGAGGTGTTAGATAAATTTTGGGACACCAGGGCACAACGTCTTGCTTTTTTACACATTCATCCTAGGATTTTGATTTTTAACAAAATAATCCGAATGGGGGAAAAAGCATTAAGAATGGATAACTGGTTTTTACTATTACAGTTCATAGCTTTTGGCTATGTGTTAATGTATTGTTTGTACACTTTGGGTGTGGAGCATGTAGACCAGCGGTTCTCAACCTGTGGGTCGGAACACCTTTGGGGAGTCGAACGACTCTATTCCAGGGGTCGCCTGAGACCACCGGAAAAAAAAAAATACTCTTCAGTTATGAAAGAGCAACGAAAATAATTTTGTGGTTGTGGGGTCGCCACAACACGAGGAGCTGTATTAAAGGGTCACAGCATTAGGAAGGTTGAGAACCACTGCTGTGGACCATGATGTTGTGCGATTTTTTTTAAAAAACAAAATAATCCGAATTGGGAAAAAGCATTAGGAATTGAAGATTGTTTTTTACTTTTACAGTCCATAGGTTTTTGGCTTATGCATTAACATATTGTTTGTACAGTTTGGGTGTGGAGCCTGTGGACCATGATGTTTTGCGACAGCCACCTCGCAAGCTCAGTGAGAACATCATCACGCGAAGTCTCATTATCAGCACCATGTCATCCGCCTTTATCATAATCACCGGTACCTTGTGGGTCTTTCATAAAGAGGTCAGTTGGCGATAACAGATTAAAATAATTTTTTTTTAAAAATTGATAAAATTCAAATTTAAACAAAATATCTTGGTTAAAATATTAGCAGCATGGCTTTTTCTAGTTAACTCCAGTCCAAGAATTATATGTATTGGCCAGTTCGGGATATAATTATTTCTTCAATGTTACATGATATAAAAAAAAATATTTGGATCAAATATTAGTTATTGACTACCTGTGTTATGAAAGCATCAAGTTTGGCTGCCAGTATTTTTCTATGATAGCATCTAGTTCATTTGGCCAATTCGGGATATAATTATTTCTTCAATGTTACATGATATAAAAAAAAATATTTGGATCAAATATTTGTTATTGACTACCTGTGTTACAAGTTACAAACTACAAGTTTGGCTGCCAGTATGTTTGTATGATAGCATCTAGTTCATTTGCCAGCCTGTTTATAGGATAGTGTCATATTCAGCTGAAAACATGTTTTTAAAACTTTTGAAGAGAAACTGAAAAAGTTTTTTGTTTTTCTTTACAGATGGAAGATGGCAAAGTGACCCCGCGAGACACAACCATGACCTTCACATGTTTTGTTTTCTTTGACATGTTTAATGCTCTTAGCTGTAGATCTTATGTAAGATAATCTTATTGTTTAAGGACAGCCATAAATGACATGATGTTACACCGTGTTTGTTGTGGTAGGTGTGTAAAGCGAGTGTGGTGTTTTGGTTGTGTGCGCTGGCTGGCGGGGTCTAGTGGGTTGGCAGCAGGGGCGGGTGGATGGGCAGGCGCGGGTGGGTGGGCTGATGTAGGTGGATGGGCTAGCGGGTAGGTGTGGTTGGATGGGCTGGTTGGCAGACGGGTCGATGGGTAGGCTGGCAGGCAGGGGCACATTGGTGGGCTGAACGGTGTGGGTGGGTGGGTGGACTGTAGGGCGTGCACTGGGGCATAGGTGGGTTGGTTGAAGGGTGTGGGTAGGCTGGCAAGCGGGGATAGGTGTGCCGATGGGTGGTCGCTGGCAAGTGGGTGGTTGGGTTGATGAGGAGGAGGGCACTGGTGGGCGGGCAGACAGGCATGGATAGGTTGGTGGTCTAGCTGGGGTTGGGCTGGCTGGCAGGGGCGGGTTGATAGGCAGCAGGGCACAGGTTGATTTAATAGTACCAAATGATTTTAATTTAATAGTTTCAAATTATCTTAATTTAATAGCATCAAATGATTTTAATTTAATATTATCAAATGATCTTAATTTAATGGTATCAAATGATTTTAATTTAATATTTTCAAATTTTCTCAATTTAATAGCATCAAATGATTTTAATTTTATATTATCAAATGATCTTAATTTAGTAGTATCAAATGATCTTAATTGAACAGTTTCAAATTATCTTATTATAAGGAAAGAATTGATTTGAACAGTGATTTTTTTATGGTAAATCAATATTATCAGTTCCTTTGACCAGGGTTTGGTTCAAATTTTCATTAGGGGCATGGCTTTTTCTAGTTAACTCCAATCAAAGAAATATAAGAATTGGCCAAATTGGGATATAATTATTTCCTTAAGGGTACATGTTTTAAAAAAAATTTTGATCAAATATTTGTTCTAAACTACCTGTGTTGTGAAAACATCCAGTTTGACTGGCAGAATGTTGACATGAAAGCATCAAGTTTGACTGGCAGAATGTGGACATGAAAGCATCAAGTTTGACTGGCAGAATGTTGACATGAAAGCATCAAGTTTGACTGGCAGAATGTGGACATGAAAGCATCAAGTTTGACTGGCAGAATGTGGACATGAAAGCATCAAGTTTGACTGGCAGAATGTGGACATGAAAGCATCAAGTTTGACTGGCAGAATGTGGACATGAAAGCATCAAGTTTGACTGGCAGAATGTGGACATGAAAGCATCAAGTTTGACTGGCAGAATGTGGACATGAAAGCATCAAGTTTGACTGGCAGAATGTGGACATGAAAGCATCAAGTTTGACTGGCTGAATGTGGACGTGAAAGCATCAAGTTTGACTGGCTGAATGTGGACATGAAAGCATCAAGTTTGACTGGCTGTATGTTTTGTATGATAGCATCAAGTTCAATTGCCAGCAAGTTTATATGATGGAATCCTCTTCAGCTGTCAGCATGATTACTTGACAGCATAACGTTTGGCTGCCGGCACATTTATATGATGGCATTAAGTATGACTGCCAGTGTCTTTGTATGCCATTACATTTATAAGATGGCATTATATTTGCATGTCAGTATGATTGCATGCCGGTGTGTTTGTTTGCCGGCATTTTTGTACGAAGAGCATTTAGTCACCATCATTTTATTTTGTTCCAGAGTAAATCTATTTTTCAAATCGGCCTACTGTCCAACAAAATGTTCCTGTACGCCGTCGGCGGCTCCATTGTGGGTCAGCTGCTGGTCATCTACCTGCCGCCCTTGCAGCAAATATTTCAAACAGAGGCTCTCTATGCATCAGGTAAAAGATTTACATTTCGTGGACTTGCTTTTTGGTTTGTGAGAACTGTCATAATTTATGGAAGAACTCAATGATTTTCTAATAGAACAGGCATCGTTGCAAGTGAATAAAAGATCATTTTTAATTTATTTGTTATTTCAGATCTATTTATATTATAACTGGGGTCGGGGGAAAGCCAAGATGTGGCTTGTCATCATTCTAGTTAATGTGGAATAAGATGAAAAAATAGTCTCCTGTGAAAGGTTATCACGGCACTCATAACTCCTCCTCAACTGGGTGTATCTAGCTGTCACAACAGCATACTAGCCATCACGGCAAACATCTTAGCGGTCACAACACCTGACATGTGCTTTCATCAAACATCCCAGCGGTCACAACAGCATCCTAGCTGTCACGGCAAACATTTTAGCTGTCACAACAACTGACATGTGCTTTCATCAAACATCCTAGCTGTCATAACATCCTACATTGCTCATTTTGTCCTTTTCAAATGTTCTCATTATTGTGTATTCCTTTTTTTATATTTATGTCCAATGCCTAATAATAAGTTTAAAATGCCTAATGAGGTGATCCAAAGCATAATGAGTTGATCCAATGCCTAATAATGAGCTGATCCAATGCCTAGTAATGAGTTGATCCAATGCTAATAATGAGTTAAATCCTAATGTTTTAATAGGAATCAGGCACAAATTTAAGATATTGTTATTTTCAAATTAATTCTGCAACAATTAAAAATATCAGCTGATTTTTTTTAATTAAATTTTTTTTGTTTTATTTTTACTCCAGATTTTGCCCTCCTCATCTCACTGACATCGACAGTTTTTGTCTTTGCTGAAATTAGAAAATTTTTTATCCGCCGCCATGAGAACAGTAAACTCCACCAGAGGGAAAGTTTGTTTTACCCCGAGAACATGGTATAATGTTGGCCAGGTTTTGTTACATTGTGTTTCTGAATTTTGGTAGTCTATTGATTGGTTTTTTCTGGCCATGTGAGTGCCGGCACTGAGTCCAAAGCCCCAGAAGTGGTTCACGCAGAAGTCATCCCCCTGTTATGTGCCGGCTGCGCAATGAATGTTTCATATGTTCCTGGTTACTGCAGCTGTGTGTTTATTTCCAGACATTTGGATGATTGGTTTCACTGTATTTCAAGGATTCGAATTAAGCACGATCTCAAGGGTGTAAAGTGTACATATATATTCATGGAGAGAAATGGATTATTATGTTATGACATGATGTCTGATGCTCTTTAGTTGAAATGTGTCTGTGTGTGGGTGCATCTCGAACAAAAAAGTGCAAGCCCAAAGTATTCAGAACCATCTTAGAATGGTTATCGGAAATTTGTTTGAAAGAAATTTCGCTGACGGAAAATTAATCAACGGGGCTTTGATCGAACGGAAATTTGATCAAACGGATGTTTGATTGAATTTTATTTTCAGTTCACACAATCTAATTTTGCGTCAAATTTCTTTTTGAATGCATTATTTTGTTTTTGTATATAGTATAGTGTGTTCAAAAAGGAAATTTGAGGAAAATTAGATAGTGTGAACTGAAATAAAAATTCTATCAAATTTCCATTCGACCAAACTTCTGCTCTATCAAATTTCTGCTCGATTAAACTTCCCTTGATCAATTTTCTGTCAACAAAATTTCTTTTAAACAAATTTCCGGATACGTCTTTGAACATCCAGTGGATTTAAAAGGAGCCATCTAGACCAGATCCAAAGACATTTATATTACAGCAGAAGAGCTGTTTGTTTCAAATTTTGGCCTCTAAAGTAACAGACCGCAAGTGGAACCAGCAGGCTTCGACCGCAAGTGGAGCCAGCAGGCATCAGCCGCCAACTTGTAAACCAGGGATTGGAAGTAAAATAAGACAAAACGCTCAATATTTTTATTTACTTTTCAATGCTGAAACTTAATGGCTTATCTAATTTTTTGTGTGTGTTCCATGTTATGTAATTATGTATTATTTTGCTGTAAAATAGATGGGAGGGGGGGGGTTGATGTTTCCAAGCTCTCACATTGAAATGGTTTGTCTTCTGGTAGAAAGAAGTAGCTGAAATGTTTTTATTGGTTATTCCAAAACATTCCATCTACTGAAAAGCCCCCTGAACGTATTATAATTATTGGTGATATTCAAAAATCCACTGCTTTTTGTTTTTTTTTTTGATGTGGGTTATGGAAGAAAAATTGTACACAGACCTCTCACAATTTGCATCATCTTCTAAAGCAGTGCACTCAATGTTGTTTCACTTGCTCTTTGGGTGCACACACAAATGTTACCGATATAAAATGCAGTGGAACCTCGGATGACGAACTTAATCCCTTCTGTGACTCCGTTCATGAACCGAAACCTTCTCTAACCGAACTAATTTTTCCCAGTTGAAATCAATGTAAATTCACAAAATCTGTTTCAGCCTTAGAAATATGGTACGGGGTATTTAAACATTTTTTAAAAGTGTTTTTCTTCGGGAGAATGTTTAAGTGAGAGATTTAAAAATGAAGAATGTGTATCCCCTGGGGAGGAAAGAAGCAGCGCTTTGCTCATTTATCTCCTGGTTCAGGAAACTCTTATGTAGGATCAAATATTTATTCAATATGATGTGCACATGTACTTCTACTACGGAATCTTCCCAAAGCAGCACGTTACTTTATATTATTTTAAAGCACAGACAATATTATCCCAGTTTTTTTTTAATGCTAGATGCGACCTGTTTATTTGGGTTCGTTCTTTTTGTTGGATGGCAGTGTTAGATTCACTGGATGGCAGTGTTAGATTCACCGGACGGCAGTGTTAGATTCATTACATCATTTCCTTATGTTTAGGTTCAATTATTTTACAATTTGTGAGAAGGTAGAAGGCAAATTTTTATTATTAAAAGTATACACCAAAAATACTGTGGAAAGGATTTCTTTCTTACTTCTCTAAACTGTTTACATCATATGCAACAAATTTTATTTAAATGAAATCAATTTTTTAAAAGTGATATTTTGTTTTTAATATTAATTTATTATGTCCATCTACATATTATGAATGTGACAGTAATGTAGCTTTAAGTCGAAGCTACCTTTTTTTTTTTATCGTTTTCTTTGCTAGGACTGGTTCAAGTATCTAGGTCAACATCTGGTAAGCCATATTTGAATATTCCACCGCAGGTGTTGACATAAAAAAAATATGTGCTGTAATCTATTTAAAATTGGGAGTCACTTAATGAGGCGTTGATACTTGTGTTTATACAGTCGCCCATCTATTGTGACACTTTGCTAGGTTTTTTGGGGGGAAAAAATCGGAGATTTCGGCCCCGATTGGCTCACTAAAGACGATAACTAAGGTGGGGGGATAGGACTAGTTCACTTATATCATCATTTTGCTATCTTGGTTTTCTTTCTTTTTCCTCTTATTTTATGATAATGATGTAAAAGAGTTTGGATGATGAGTCTGTGGAGATGTCAAACTTATGTCTGCAGTCTCACTCTGGATCCAAAGTCATCAAATCAAAAATCAAGATTTTGAAGGCGAATGCAGTCAGAGCAATGAATGAGAAGTTTATATTCAGATACTGCCTAGCCCATTTTTCAAATGTATCAAAATATGTTTTATCATTGTGGATGTCGATGTATAAAAATTTGTTTAAAAAAAAAAAAATTGTACATTAATTTTTAAAAAAATAACAACCTGATGCTGTTTTGCTCCTCATGTGATAAATGTTTTTATGTGGATCTCTCTCTCTCTTTTTTATACAGTACAAAAATAGGCCTTGCGCCCCAGAACTATTTACTCTATATAACTACACCAGTTTAGTTGAATGTTGCTTGTGAGCAACTGAAAGTATGACATTTCTCACATACAAATAAAGAGTACTTGATGACATGCTGTGAAATGTTGTCATGTGACTAGCATTGTGGTTTGAATGTTTCCATTCCATCACCTCCCAATAACACGATGTCTCATTCATACAGTTGTTTTGACAGCTCAGTTCCCGCTGCTGTTGTGGAATATTGAATCCAGTCTCAGCCAAATACAGTTTGAATTTTTTAACATCCAATAGGTATTTAGAAATAAAGTTAATGAAGATCAAATATGAAAATGGAACGAAGGAACAAAAGATCCTTGGTGTAAATAAGAATTTGATTTTGATTCTTTGTGACAAACATTGGGTAAATGGCATGATATGTTTATCATAAGTTTATTTCTTGGCCCAAAAAATAGTCTGTCATCATTTCTTTAAAAATATCTTCCAGCTTTAAGCTGCGATAGCATCAAGGTCATGTGTCTTACAACACTGGTGAAAAAAAAAGATATTTTACTATAATAAAAATTGTTTGACCTCCCTCCCCTTCTATAGCAGCCATTGAGAACTATTTATTCAAGGACTGGATTCGATTTTTGAAATGTCAAGTTAATTCAATGGAAGAAACTTAATAGCACAGCTGGAATATATTGAAGGGGACGCTGTAAAAATAATGCTGTATAAAGTAACTGTACACAAATTTTAATCAGTTCATTTTAATCAGCACGGCTGTTGATATACTTTAGGACAATCAGCCTGGCGTTCTTAAATAAAGTAACTGACACCATAAGTTTGATTGCCCGTTTATATTCTATGAAAGTTCAAATGAAGAAGCCATTACCCCTTGGCCACGATTAGACAAAAAAACTTTTTCTATTTGAGTATGCTGCAGTCATAATAGTGCATCATCATCTTTTTTTTTTTTTTCATCCAGAGGTCCCCAGCCTCTAGCTTGCAGGCCACATGTGATCCTTTGAGGTGAATGAATAGGAGACTGTAGTTTGGTTTTAAAAAAAACAACAGGCTCCAATCTTAGAGGTTTATCTCACACTTAATGGCAATACTACTTCAGGCAGCGGTGTATCCCCCAACTCAACGTTTTAATTTTTGTAACAAGTACCGGGTACCTTTGTGCTATGGCACAGCATTAACTCAATTATTTTCTTTAAGGATAGAGTTGTCTTACTTACCATAACACACCCTTGCCAAGTCTGTCATCTTGTTGGAAGATGGCTAGTATTGAAACCTTAAGAGTATTTTTTAACATGTTTACAGAATGTACATTTTGGTAGGGCGTCTTTGTGATTAAATTACTTTTTTTTCTCTTTCTTCCCTTTTTTTAAAATGTATTTAAATTAATAAATTATAAAGTATATTATTATTTTTAAAAATGTATTTCCTTTAATACATTAATGTTAAGTATTATTTTGTTAGATACGGTTTCAGGAACAGGGAGCAAAATATAGAAAATGTTACACCATTGCTATGTGTCTGATTGTTTTAGCAACTCTGTTATCTAAGTATTTCCTGAGCTTCCAACGGACTACTGCTGTTTTTCCGCGGCTCGGAACAAGTGTGATCACACAAAGTATGTCAGATAGCAAACTTGTAAAAAGATTGTCATAATTTATTCATTCAATTTATGTTAATTCTTGGGCGTCAGAGAAGTCGTTTTTTAAAGTAAGTCAGAATGCTTCAGAGTCTGCTCACTAACTGAAATATTTGGCAATTTCATAAAACCTTCATATTATGAGCAGCTTTAAACAGTAAAATTGTATTTATATTTTTAAACAATGGGATTGTATAAATATTTATGCTGATGTGGCCAAAGTTTTTTCTTGAATTGTTGCCTGTTGAGGTAAGGAATAATTGTATCAATGGTTAGGCAATGACAGAAAGTAATGAGATGTCAATGTAATTTGGAAGACAATGAGATGGCAATGTAATTTGGAAGACAATGAGATGGCAATGTCATTTGGAAGACAATGAGATGGTAATTTAATTTGGAAGACAATGAGATGTTAATGTCATTTGGAAGACAATGAAATGGTAATGTCATTTGGAAGACAATGAGATGGTAATGTAATTTGGAAGACAATGAGTGGCAATGTAATTTTGAAGACAATGAGATGGCAATGTCATTTGGAAGACAATGAGATGGTAATGTAATTTGGAAATATAATAATTTTAAAGCAAAAAGTATTCCTGAAAGATATGAATACTTTGTGAGTGGGTCTCACAGGGATTAGTTCAGCGGTGTGGACAATAGTCGGACAAGGGTTCATTTTATGACATGCCAATTGGTTGGCTCACCGAGCTAAAAAAAAAAAAAAAAAAAAAAGGAAGTGTTCCCCCATTTATAAATAGTCTTTTCAATGGGGAAAAAACAATGAGATTTTTAAACATTTCTCTTTCCTGTTGCATTTTTTTAAATGCAGTATTCAATCATCTCAACAGTATGCAACTAGGAAACAATTTTAGCATTATTTGTTTAAAAGGTTGGACTGTGGACCAGGAATTTTAATATAAAGCATAGATTTTTGTGTGTGCTACATTCTAATTTTTAAAATAAAAATAAATAAAATTTGAACAATTATTTTTTTAATTTTATTTAATTTAATGCTGACCCACTAATTAAGAGTGTAATAACTTTTAGTTCACTTGGGACCCTCTACATATGTAGGGACAATGCATTCTGTTTTTATGATCATTAGTTATTAAATTTTCATTGTATTATTTTCTTACTCGTAAACTTTTGGGTGCACAGTATTAAGATTTAATCAATTGGTTTTCGTTTCCCCCAACAGCCAATTTACAACAGGTAAACATTTCGGCTTTGATTACTCAGTTTTTTTTAATGTTTTTGTTTATTACAAATTTTTTTTTATTAAGTCCTGTTGTGTTAAGTGTTAGTTTATTGGAATAAAAAAACAAACAAATAAAACACATGAAGCGAGGTTCATGATTGAACAATTTCGTATGAGGCCAGAGCATATGGGCCAACAGGAAGTTATGCTTGAAAGAAAGTAAGGCAAGATGAAGAAACTGTCATTATCAATCTTCTATCACCCTTTAGTGTTTCAATTGATATAAATATGATACATATGTTATATTAGGTCGTGATGGCAATTTGGATTTTACAAAACTTCAGAAATAAATATATATATATATATATATTTTTTAATGTTATGCATTTGGATGGAATGAAAGTTAAAATTTCCTGTAATATTTCAGAACTGAAAAAAATAGTTATTTGGGGGGGGGGGGGGGAATAATAGTATTTATTGTTATTAATTGCTAAAAATGACGTAATTGACCAACTGGGAGTTTGTAATTGTAGTATCCACAGGATTGGCGATATGACTTCCCACATAAATTTACGGATTATATGATGGAATGACCATCATATTCAAAACCAGGACATTTAACAAATTGTTCTTATTTATTCAGGACATTTAAAATTGTTTTGGCGCCAAGAATGTCCAGGCGAGTCGTTCCTATGAAAAAAAAATATTATGGTGATGCCAATTTGGATGAATTATATAGTTTTATCTGTTCCATTTATTTATGCCTGAATATCAGATGTACTCGGATCGTTGGTTCAAGTAATCATGTTTAACTTTAACTGTACTGGCTACAACTCAAGACTAACCATGACAAATGTACAAAACCCTGTAATGTACTGGTAAAAACAGTACCAACGGTCACCTTATGGTTTGAACATGTTTTAATGATTCATGATGTAGCAAATTAGTGAATTAAATTGTATCTTATGTCACCTCTGAATCTGTATGAATATGTGTGGATCTGTATGAATGTGTGTGCATGTGTGTGAATCTGTGCAGAGCTGTGTGGATATGTGCAGAGCTGTATGAATATGTTTCCTGGGTTTTCTCCTTTTATTTCCAGGGACTCTGACTCAGAGGAAATGTTCATCACCGCCTCAGCTGGTCATTCAAAACATAATTCAGTTTCAGTGGCTGCTAGTCACTCATCACAAATATAAGCTAATGACACAAGCTGGAACTCTGTCAGTGCTATAAGCTTCTGATACAATATCGCACAATTTCAGTACTACCGGCTGATGATGCAAGCTGGCACAATTTCAGTACTACAGGCTAATGATACAAGCTGGCACTCATCAGTACTGCAAGCCAACGCTATAAGCTGGCACTTCATAAGAACTATAAGCTAATGCTACAAGTGGGCATCTGTGCTGTATGCTAATGATACTCTGGGTCCCAAATTTGAAGACTTGGATTTTCATGTTGCATTAACGGAGCTCACATTTTATTTTATATTGTCACATTCTCCAAACTGTGGCATTTGATTAGTTGAGTACAACCCTTGATCACGGATCATTCCAAAATGTGGCCCTCCGCTAAAATGTTTGGGACCAGTGGTTTAAAGAAATTATTTAAAGAAGAGAATTTTTATAAATTGTCTAGATATATATATATTGCCTTACGTATGTTACAGTTTCAAGCACTCTATATGTGTTTATTTTCATTTCAAAGAAATATTTTTAAAAAAAGTGATACATGTTAAAATGACCATAACAAAGCTTTCAGACTGGGAAGGTTAGTCCAGTGGCTTCATTATTTAAATCCCTTTTGGGTACAATCGCTGTGTTAAATGGGAGCTTGGTAAGACACGTCGAATGTAATTGTATAGAGTGCAAAGGCAACACTGCAGTTAACTGTAGCAAAGTGGTAAAATGGTGATTGAACTGTTGGTATGATTACTACATCATCAGTTGAAAGGTGCCGGCTCTATAGCATTGTGATTGATAGGTCAGTTTTGTTGGCACAAAATATGTGACTGTTTGATATAAATATTATCAATGTATCATCTTAGAATTTGAATGGCATAAATGTTATCAAAAAGCAGTGGTTCCCAAACTTTTTGACTCATATGAATCAGTTTCTATGGTGGGTGGGTGGGGGGGGGGTCAGCACTTAAGCCTGCCTACCCAATGTCTTACAGGCTGGAGCAGCTCTGTGGAACACAGTTTGGGAACCGGTGTGTTTTAGACTGTGACATTTTTGTATAATATTTTTAAGGATTAACTTAGAATGTGACTGTCTGATATAAATATTATTTAGGATTGGCTTAGAATGTGACTGTTGGATATAAATAATATTATCAAAAGATTGTCCTAGTTTGTAAAACTGTGCCACATTTCATCTTCACTGCGTAGGATGAACTAATGATTGTGTAATTCATGATATCGTCAATATTTATGAGTGTACATTCTCTCCTTTTTTTTTAGCTTTTCCCATCCTGAATCACAAAGCATTCTACTGTCACAGCCTAGTTAAACTTTTCTCAAGGTAGTCTGCCTGCTGTTTCAGCCTATTTAAAGTATTCACAAGGCAACCTGCTGTTTCAGCCTATTTAAGCAACTATTTATAAAATAGTTTTTAATCAAAATGTTATACTGTGGCCCACCCTCAGTCTGCTGATTGATATCCAGAGTTGTCTGTCAAGATGTGCATACAACAGATGGCATGCACAGTTGGTGGTGAGGTAGGTGTGTTATGTTGAAAAGGTTTATAAAACACACACATAAACAATTCATGAAAAAAATGTATGTAAAGAAGTGCAAATGCTTTGAACAATCTTATTTAATAAATTGTAATTTTTCCTAGTGATCCTTTAATTTAGTTGTGGGTCGCCAGGAAATTGTTGGGAACCACTGGACATAAGGTTTTGAGGATTATATAATGATTACTAGCCTTTAATAATGGAGTCCTCTTAATCTTATGGTTAGTGACACCACGCCGATACTCTTCATTGGCTATGAAATTGGTAATTGGGTAAAAATGATATTTGAAACTGATGGGCACGAGTCTGCCAGAGTATGTATGTGAGACCATTGTGCTGAAGGGTAGCCCATGAAGCTGGTGCTAAGAAAAGTAGGATACAGTCTAATGAAAGAACCTTTAGTATTTTACTCATACAGATTGCTGCGTGCTGCTAGACTTTGATGAGTGGGCGGCGACCATGAGAAAAAGTAAAGAAATCAAATAATTGTCTGATTAAATGATTTTAATTTGCTTTCATTTCATTTAAAAACTGTACAGATATTTTACTTTGTTAATGCTGGTTGTTGTACACTCCCTGTTTTATTTTTATATTTAATTGAAAGTTGCACGTATTATGAAGGATTACTTTGATGCCATTAAATTTGTGGATACCATCATAATAAAATATTTAATTTCATCTCTGAAAAAAAAAATATGAAAAAAAGTCAGGCAGGGTGGTTAACTCATGAAATTATTGGTCTTCTGAATTTTTATTATCAACAAGTTATTCCTCTTGTTCCAATAAGACAAATACAGAGTTTCTTTTTTCTATGCCTACATATGTTTTGTTAAAAAAAATACTGCTCTGCATAAATTTGTGCTGAAATGGATGTTCAACTGCACCATGCGCTATGAAAATTATTTTTTAAAAAAACACTGTACATTAATAAAATGTTTCATAAATCTCTATTTATTCTATTGGGAGGTACCCTGTAGTGATCAGTAAGGTCATGACCTGTGTTGAAAATAAGATCAAATGAATTGGCCTCATACCTGTGTTGTTAATTGTATTTGTGAAAATGACGGGCACATCGGTTCACATGGATTGATTGGCAAGACCAGAGATGGTGCCAAGTTGAAAAAATGTTTTAACAAAAGGCCAATCATTTACTTCTGCCTGTTCAATTTTCATAACTGTTTACCATGTAAAATTGAGGGAAATTTTTTTTATGGTTAATTATGTTTCCTTACTCTGTCCATAATTCTTGGAATCACATGCCTGTTGCTCTTATGCCACAAAATAAACATTTATTTGCAAAATGTAAAGTCTTACCTTGTGATTTTTTTTCTCTGCTTTAGTTGGCAGTGGAATAACATAGTGTACAGGTACATGCCCATAATTATGTTGATAGCTGTTACTATTTCCATTATGATTAGGACATTGTACTGTCAATATATTATTAGTAAGTTACTCTTTTAAACAGCAAAAAGTATATTCCACATTAATTTAATTACAGACATTTTTAATACAACCAGTTAAACAAAGTTATTTTGAGTAGCCAGTGAGTTTGGCTCACATATATTATTACAGTATTATTGTAAATTATAGTGGTGTCAATGAATTTTTTAGAAAATAATTAGTGAATAATTTCCACAGTTTTAAAAATAAATGGTTGAGTTCCTTAAATATTCATTTATTGCGGGTTGACATTTATTTAAGCAACCATGTAGGTCAAAAATAAATTGTTCATATTTTGATATGTCTAATTTTATTATTTAAAAAAATTTATAATGATGAAATACACAAGGGCTTTCTATTCATTATATACATATTTTTATTTACGGTTAGAAAAAGAAAAAATTTGCATAATCCAATAAACTTAAAGTAATATTTAACTTTACAAGACAACTATACGTGGTCATCACATGTATAAATAATATGCAATAATAAATATTTAATGCTAGAAAAACTTCAAGAAAATAAATGTAGTATAGTTTTCACACTATTGACCATTAACACAGTGACTTCTTGTTAATAAAGAAAAGTTGCCAGAGTGCAACAACTCATACAGATGACAAAAAAAGTCAGCTGTTGGAATAAAACCGTTGCCAAATGGTAATATTTTATCTGGTAACAATTTTTATGTTGGCCGTCCTGCTAATATTTTAATTAAGCTACAAGAAACTTATTTTTCTAAATATAAATAAATCTTTAAACCTACATGCATCAGTTGTTCCAACTTTTAATCACTTAAAACAGTTTAATTTTGATTGTTCCACATCTTTTTTTCTTCTTTCTTGACATCGAACTTAAATACTTGGCGCTCCCACTTAAATAGGACCACCGTGCTTTTGTCCTGGCATGTCACATTCATCATGCGCTCCCACTTAAATAGGACCACCGTGCTTTTGGCCTGGCATGTCACATTCATCATGCGCTCCCACTTAAATAGGACCACCGTGCTTTTGTCCTGGCATGTCACATTCATCATGTGCTCCCACTTAAATAGGACCACCGTGCTTTTGGCCTGGCATGTCACATTCATCATGCACTCCCACTTAAATAGGACCACCATGCTTTTGGCCTGGCATGTCACATTCATCATGCGCTCCCACTTAAATAGGACCACCGTGCTTTTGTCCTGGCGTGTCACATTCATCAACCAACCCAATCCAATGAGTCAATATTCTATACAGCAGATAAATTTTCCGAGACTGACGTCATGTCCTGTCACACACAAAGGATTTGTATGGCCGAGTGTGATGTCTTAATCTGTTTAAAGTATTGCCACCATAAAATTAAATAATAAGAGAACATTTTTTCCAATATTAGATTTGGCACTATTTTTCATTCGGAAACGGAGAAACTAATAGTCTGTCATCAATCAGCCTGAAGGTGTTGACTCTAGTCCCGAAGTTGAGAAATTATGGCTTTGAGATTCTCACAACAGCTGGTAGTCACCTTGGATTTCGACCCACTGGTTTGAAGGTCATGGAGCAGATCCACAAGTCTGGGTGCAATGTTAGCGGCCTTGAACTGTATTCGAGCCTGAGGGGGGCAGTACAGAACATGTTTTAAAAGAACTTAACTTCTGTTATATTATTGTATTATAGCTAACTCTCAATGAACACTAACACGTCTGTTCAGCTCCGTGTCTATATCTTTATTGAATTTATTACAAGCAAGGTCACGTGACTTCTCAACTCAAGCATTCACGGGCCTCACGCATTGACACAAGGGGACGCAACTTAACAATACAACAAGAGTGATATCACAACATCCCCCTCCTTTCTGGAAAGAGGTGGCTTATCACATCAGTAATACAAATACATAAAAATTAATACAATGTCTTTATCTAATTATAAATAAAGACTTTCATCCTAGTGGTCTTTATTTCCCGTCCTGATCGGGTTCTTTGTATGTTGTCAGGACTTGTATTGGATCTTCAGGGTGCGCATATGGCCTCCAGGTGGTTCTCAGGATTTAGGGCCTTTATTTTTCTCACCACGATTTCTGTCCACCTCTAAAAAATTGCTGAAGTAGTCCATGCAGACTACATCATTTTTCCCGTTTAATTCAAAAAGATCCACACCAACTTTTTCCCATGGGTGTCTTGGGATCTCATGACTCATTAAGAGTCTCTTTCTGGTGGTCAGGTTGAAGGGCTTGACAAATGTCACACGTTGAAATGAAATGTTTGATTTCACCGGCCATTCCTGGCCAGAATAGACTTTCACGTGACCTTTTCAGACACCCTTCGATGCCGATGTGGGTTGAATGGATCGCCTTTTTCAACTCTGATCTTATAAACACTGGTACTACCACCCCTTCACCTTTGAAAATCAGACCATCCTGAATGGACATTTCATCTCTGAAGCTATAGTAGGTTGCTAGTGTATCATGCAATAGATGCGTGTCCTCAGGCCAGCCAGAAGTAATTATAGTTTTAAGTCTTTGAAGGGTGTTATCTTTTCCAGTTTCTCCTTTCAGTCTACGTAGTTTTTCTTCACGAATGGACAGAAAACTGGTCATATTTATATGTTCAAATTCACCTTGATTGCTCTCAGATGATTGTATGTAGGCCTTGATAGTGTATCAGAAAGGTGCATCTCCTTTCCTTTTTTGTACTTCACTTCTATATCATAATCTTGAATTCTCAGCATCATTCCTTGTAGTCTACGAGGAGCGGCTGAAAGAGGTTTTGCTATGATTGCCTCCAAAGGCTTATGATCACTTTCAATCGTAGTGTGCCGACCGAATGTATATTGGTGAAACTTATCTAGAGCAAACACAATGGCTAGCATTTCCTTTTCAATCGGTGCATATCTGGTTTCGGTGTCAGTCAGAGACCGACAGCGTAGGATATGGGCTTACCATGTTGCACAAGTACAGCCCCAAGTCTCTTTTGGCTCGAATCACATTGTATTGTTACCTCTTTTCTGGGATTATAGAATGCCAACACAGGAGCCTTTGTCACCATGGACTTCACTTCACAGAAGGCTGTGTCATGCTTATCAGACCATGACCACCGGATATCTCAACGTAGTAGTTGACCAATAGGTTCAAGGGTGTCAGATAGTCTGGGAAGAAACTTTCAGAGATTATTCACAAAGCCACAGAAACGCCTTACCTCTTCAACATTCCTTGGTTTCTTCATTTCCTTGATAGCTCTTACTGTCTCTGGATCTATTGGTTTCTTCATTTCCTTGATAGCTCTTACTGTCTCTGGATCTATTGGTTTCTTCATTTCCTTGATAGCTCTTACTGTCTCTGGATCTATTGGTTTCTTCATTTCCTTGATAGCTCTTACTGTCTCTATTGGTTTCTTCATTTCCTTGATAGCTCTTACTGTCTCTGGATCTATTGGTTTCTTCATTTCCTTGATAGCTCTTACTGTCTCTGGATCTATTGGTTTCTTCATTTCCTTGATAGCTCTTACTTTCTCTGGATCTATTTTCAAACCTTCACCTGCGATTCGATGACCCAGGTATGAAATTTCCTTCATTTTAATTTCAGCCTTACCCCTGTTAAGCTTTATTCCAACAGAACGCCAACTTTCTAACAAAGCAATAATGTTCTTGTCGTGATCACAAGACGCTGATTCTAATGTGTAGCCAGAACCATACACTATGATATCATCTGCGACACCTATCACTCCATCAAGTCCCTCAAGAGCAACATTAAGCCATTTTTGAAAAAGCTCAGAGCTCACAGATGTTCCAAATGGTAGTCTATTCCATTTGTATCGCCCAAAAGGAGTTTGAAATGTAGTTTAGTAGACTTGATTCCTCATCAAGATGTACATGCCAGTAAGCATTAGCTAGGTACAATTTAGAAAACCATTTGGCACTGGACAATTTGGTTAATATGTCCTCCATAATGGGAAGAGCGAAACACTCTCTTTTAAGTGCTCTATTTAGAGGACGAGGATCCAAGCATATTCGGTGTTCTCCTGATTTCTTTGTGGCTACCACCAGTCGACTAACCCAGTCAGTTGGTTTGTCAACAGGTTCGATGATACCTCTTTTGGTCAATCATTGTAATTCCGCTTTCACTTTAGCTTCTATTGCAAGTGGCACACGCCCAGATGGGCAGGTAACTGGTGTAACCTCAGGATTCACCTCTAGGTCTACGATTCCAGTTAAGTCTCCCTGCTGATCATTAAAAACATCCTTGAAATTTTCAAATATTTTAGGAGAACTTTATTTCTTGGATATTTTATCGATCTTATCGACACTTTCCAAAATATTGTAATATACGTCAATATGCCCCATTGTTTCTGAAGTTTTCTTTCCAAGTAGTGGGGTCAGGTTATTTCTCACAACATTGAAATCAACACAGTATTTTTTTCTCGTTCTGGGGTTTTGAACAATTAATTTTACTTTTCCAATCGGCAAGAGTGTGCTTCCATGATAAACACGGAGTTTAGTAGTAGTGGGAGTAACTTTTGCGGTTTTTATGAACTTCCTCGGAATCACATTAACGCTGGCTCCTGAGTCAATCTGACACATGGCCTTCTCCCCACCAATGATCATTTCAGCTTTTATGACCTTACTATGTCGTTTACTGTTCACCGCAAGTACAGTTTCCTCATTTCAAGAGTAGTCTTCCTCATTATCTTCATTCACCCAAATTCTTCTGGTTGCATTTGCTGGCAAAATGGTTTCTAAGCTTACAGATTGTTCATTGTTTGTCCCATGCAGGTCACAATTCTTTCTTGAAAAGGTGTATCTGTCCACAAAATTTACACTTGGACCGTTTGTTACTTTGAGCTGTGTTGATCTTCTGGTGTTTCTCCTACCAGACAGTACAGCAAAGGCCTCGTCCGGACTACCTGCTGCATCCTCTCCTGGAACCGTGTTCTCTTCTAAAATTTTTATTTGAACATTAGCTGCTTCTTGGGCTCGACATATGTCTATACATGTCGCCAGAGTCAGTTTCATTTCTTGCAATAATGCTTTTCTAGTTATGTTGTCTTTTATGCCCACCACGATTCTGTTTCTCAGTAAAGAGTCTTCCATATGGTCGCAAAAATTGCACGTTCCAGCTAAGGTGCGTAATAGTGCAATATAGTCCTCAAAAGTTTCATCAGCTTTCTGCTTCCTATTATTAAACACATACCTTTCAGATGTCTCATTTTTCCTTCCCATGAAATGGTCATCAAATGCATTTATGACGTCCTGTGTATTATGAATTTCTTTGAGAGGCATGCCATTGTAAATAGTCAGTCCCTCTGGTCCTATGGTGTTTAAGAATAGAGCTTTTTTATATTCCTCATCCTCTGTGTTGACCTGTGCTACAATGCAATAGTTCATCCCCCTTTGTTTCCACAGTTTCCATTCCTCACACCCTTCCTTCACATTTAAAGAAGGTTGGGGGGGGGGGGAGGGGGGGGGGGGGGGGGGAGGCCTCTAGCCTTATAACAACTTCTTTCTGCCATAGTCTCAGTTGGCTGCCACCATGTTAAATTATTGTATTATAGCTAACACTCAATGAACACTAACACGTCTGTTTGACGTATTATAATATTTATTGTAATATATTTATATATAATAATATAACAACTTCACCCATCCAATGTATAACTGAAAAAACATCATTTCAAAAAGAATTTTTAAAAATTCTAATAACACATTTAGGATTATTTTCCCAGATAAAAGTTTTGAGCATAGACCTGATAGTTAATTAAAAGGAAGACTCCTTTGAGCACAATAAAAGATTTAAAAAACAAAACAAAAAAACCAAAGCGGAAGTGGAACAAAAAGTTGAAAGGAAAGTGATCACCTTGTGACTGTTGTGCACCAGAGCCCACAGAGCAGACGATGCAACCAGCTGTCTATTTTTATCTGTCTTATTCTCAATCTGGCCCATCATCACAGAGATCAGTTTATCTGCAGATACAATTATAAAATTTAGTCTAATAGCGAACGATAGCTATTATCAATTGGAAGTTATGATCAGATATATTGCAGCCTTAAATTAAATTTAAAAGTTAACTAGAAATCTGAAATTTGTATAATACATGTACATTTTAAAAAAAAAAACCTGATAAATATTTGAAAACTATAGAAATGAATTGTTTCTTTTCTATCTTTGATTAATCCAGTGTTTGTCCAAACATGTGAGTTTTGCTTTTGATTCTTCATGTAAAACGTTGTAAATACTTTTTTAAATATTGAGGGTGCCAAGATGATTAATTATATCATTTTTGTCTGAGTAGTTAAGCTTTTTGAGACTGTCTCGTCTGTCTCATCTGTCTCATCTGCCTCGTCTGTCTCATCTGCCTCGTCTGTCTCATCTGCCTCGTCTGTCTGGTCTGCCTTGTCTGTCTCATCTGTCTCATCTGCCTCGTCTGTCTCATCTGCCTCGTCTGTCTCATCTGCCTCGTCTGTCTGGTCTGCCTTGTCTGTCTCATCTGCCTCGTCTGTCTGGTCTGCCTTGTCTGTCTCATCTGCCTCGTCTGTCTCATCTGCCTCGTCTGTCTCATCTGCCTCGTCTGTCTCGTCTGCCTTGTCTGTCTCGTCTGCCTCGTCTGTCTCATCTGTCTCATCTGCCTCCTCTGTCTCATCTGCCTCGTCTGTCTCATCTGCCTCGTCTGTCTGGTCTGCCTCGTCTGTCTCATCTGCCTCGTCTGTCTCATCTGCCTCATCTGTCTCATCTGCCTCGTCTGTCTCGTCTGTCTCATCTGCCTCGTCTGTCTGGTCTGCCTCGTCTGTCTCATCTGCCTCGTCTGTCTGGTCTGCCTCGTCTGTCTCATCTGCCTCGTCTGTCTCATCTGCCTCATCTGTCTCATCTGCCTCATCTGTCTCATCTGTCTCATCTGTCTCGTCTGTCTGGTCTGCCTCGTCTGTCTCATCTGTCTCATCTGCCTCGTCTGTCTGGTCTGCCTTGTCTGTCTGGTCTGCCTCGTCTGTCTCATCTGTCTCGTCTGTCTCATCTGTCTCGTCCATGTTAGTTTTAAACAGAAAAAAACAAAAAACGATAGCAAGAGTAGTTCCTACCGGCTGCCAGAATTTTTGGCTTGTTTGGGGCGTGGCAACATAAATTTCTAACGATTAGCATAGCACAGTGCTGACATCTTGAGGGCCCTGCCTCCATCATGTCCATCAAAACAGTGAGAACGTCTGATTGAATAGAAAATAACTTTACAATTTTTTTTTTTAAGAAAGAACTTTTTTTTACCATTTACAAATTTCCTTAAGTTTATGAGTAAATTATGAAATGAAATCCCTCAGACAATAAATATTTATATTAACTTTAAAGCTATTTTTGATCTTAGCTCTTCCCAAAAATCACGCTGCTGACCTGATGTCTTGAGGATAATTTGTTGTCCGTCTGTGCTGAATGACAACGCAGAGAACAGTTCACACCATAAAATATCGACTGCTATTCGCATTTTTCCTTTTGTCCTCCTGGGGTTTAGCCGGGAAAACTGGTTCAGAAAGTTATTCTGTTGAGCAAACATTAATTATAATGCTAACAGTGTTTTCCAGAAAAAAATGTATAAGCAGTGTAACAGCTCAAATATTGACATGATGTATTGTTTTCACAATTTAGGAATTAACAGGAAGTTAAATGTATTAATATGTCGTGAGCAGAAGTGCAAGAAGACAGGAAGTGATTCATACATGGCCATCATGGCAGTTTGATTTTTGTGTTCTTGCACCCATTAAGTGTATATCTCTGAACATCCGTAATAAGTATATTGCATTCTGAGTTAATTATGTGTACATGAAGTGACAAGGCAATGACAGTTATGTTTCCTCCAGTTTAGGAGATTTATTTTATACTCTGCGAAGTGTATATTCCATCAATAAATATGTTATGATGCGATTCATGGAATTGGGCCTCATGCTTTTTACAATAAGCATTGGAATTATCATTAGGAGTGCTGAATAAGCAAACGCAAGAAGAAGAACCACATTAGACAATATTCTTATAATGATACCACATCAATGTTATAATTAACAGCTGTTGTTACAAGTAGCAAAGTTTTGTTTTGGATAAAACAATTGCTATTAGTTATGTTATAAAAATATAAGTCAAAAGATAAAACGAGTTGAGTGCCCAGATTGTGATGAAATCAAATGAGCAGATGGCTTTTGGTAATTGTGGAACAAGAAAATAGTATAATTCAATGTAACTTATTGTAAAACACTCAATTATTTCCTGCTTATCTGCTGCCATATTATGGAGCAATCATTTAATTCTTTGGTTAACCACAGGGCTTCTCAAACTGTGGCCCACGGACCAGATCCGAACCTGCAATGGTCCTTAACCCCGTCCGCCGTACAAATATAAACAAGGAACCTGACATCGGCCATCTCATTAGCCAAAAGCAGGTTCACACGTCGCATTGATATGCTAATAAGTTTAAGCTGATGACAAATGTTCTTAATTTAAAATGTATTTGTTTTTGTTTGTTTTTTTGTTGCTCTACAACTAAGATTTGTGAAGTGTGTATAGTAACTTGTTTATACAATCATGCTATAATCTTGTAATATAATATTGTTGACTATTATCCTGGGCAGTGAACGACCTACCTGATTAAAATGTTTGAGGATCCCTGCCCTAAAAAGTGCATAAAATTAGCAAAAACGTGAAGTATTTGCTGCAAACAGCGACCAAAAACAATTTACATGAGTTTTAAAAATTGAGGGTTCTCACCTTCCATAAAATGTGGCGACAGTCTGCACTCATGACTAAATTTGTCAGGAGGGCAAAGGTCAGCCTCAAGACAGGCGAGCACTCGTCCCTGTCCAACTCTCTCTGGGTCAACTTTAGGATGCAGTGAAGGAGGGTTCCCTGCCCACCTGGACGGCTGGCTGTCTGAGCTGAGATGGGCAAGGCAAGTGAGCCAGCAGCTGTATCGGGAAAAGATTTGTTAAAAACTCACCATTGTAACATTTGCTTATCATAGTTCACAGGTAAACCTTTTTTTTTTTTAAATGTCTAAATCAAAATAAATAGATTTTAAAAAAAAATATATAAATGTTGTATCCCTTCAAAATTTTATATCGAAGTGAAATATTACTTGAACATAAAGCAAATCAGATGGCGTAGAATCATAATAAAAACAGCAGAAGAACCTGAGTTGCAATGGGCGGAGTAAGTTATCAAGAATGACAGAACACTGGACAGGAGGGTGGGTTCTTGCTGACACCATGACCACAGCTTCTGTATGACCAAGGTGATGCCGCTGCGGTGGCAGGCAACCTGCAGAACATGAGTTGCATGACATGATCAATGTGGACTTGGCCCAGAAAACAGAAGGCTGCAACTATTTGGCAACAAATTTAACTGCTTTGACTCTTCAAGGGTTTTAACTTCTAAGATAAAATTATCTGGCTATGCAGAGCATTAAATAAAGTTGCCCGATTGGATTAAAAAATTTAGCAGAGTATTATTTGGTCTTTAAAAAGAAAATCTGGTGCACAGTTCTAACTCTGGTGCACAGTTCTAACTCTGGTGCACAGTTCTAACTCTGGTGCACAGTTCTAACTCTGGTGTACTATTCTAACTCTGGTGTACAATTCTAACTCTGATATACAGTTCTAACAATGGTGCACAGTTCTAACTCTGGTGTACAGTTCTAACAATGGTGCACAGTTCTACTCTGGTGCACAGTTCTAACTCTGGTACACAATTCTAACAATGGTGTACATTGCTAACTCTGGTGCACATTTCTAACTCTGGTGCACAGTTCTAACTCTGGTGCACAGTTCTAACTCTGGTGCACAGTTCTAACTCTGGTGCACAATTCTAACTCTGGTGTACATTTCTAACTTTTATCTGTGATGACATTACTTTTCTAATGTTTTGAGAGTTAGAAAATAATTAATGCTCCTCTCATCCATTACCTTGACACTCGTATTGTTGTACATAAAATTACGCAGGAAGTCGAACATGTTCACCAACTCTTGTAAGTACGGACCTTCCTGAAATTACAGAGATATGGATCAGTGGGCATTAATCTGAAGGTGTGCTCCGTGAAAAACATCTAGTGACCAAATCATGATTTGTAAAAAACAGGACGCTTTCAAGAACGATTTTTTGGGGGCGCGAGGGGAGGGGCGGAATACCCTCCAGCTAAAGAGGGGTCCGGAGGCCTCCGCCGGAAACTGTTTATTGAAAATATGCTAATTTTAACTATGAAATCTAACCTAGAAATCTACTTGGGGCACTCAGTCTTTTCCTCTGTCATATGTTTCACTGATGTGATGTGTTGTTCTATGTCTGAACGCCCACCATGACCACTAATAAAAACATTATTGCAAACTGTGCACTCGGCTTCACTTTCATAGCGTCCCTTTTTAATATAGTTCCACGCTTTGGAATACTCCGCCATAAACTTACATTGACACTTGGGCATAATGATTGTTCTAATGAGAAGATAATATAAAATTAAAGAATAAAGTTCAAAACCTAAAACAAACACCTGTCACTCTGACACGAACAGGCGGCCGGCAGGGATCACACATAATAGTAACACATTACACGTTGCGGTAGTGGAATCAAAATTGTTTTCTGCACAGCTACATGCCCCCCCCTCCCTTTGCAGCTTCAAGTCTTGTGTCTTTCGCTATACATTTACATATAAGATCTAGCGGCAGGGACACTGGTGGAGGGGGGAACAGTGCAGCCATCACTCGAGCCCACATCACTACTGGCACTAGCTACACAACTAGCCCAAATAATACTTGAAGTTAAACTATAAATTAGGTAGTTTAAGTGATTAGAAAATGGGTTTGGTTTTAAAAAACGGGACATAAACGGGACGCCTAAGCGTCCTCCCGAGAGACTTTTTCAGGACAACGGGTACAATCGTTAAAAAAAAACGTGACAACTCCATTTTTACGGGACGTTTGGTCACCTTAATCTAATCACTCCGTCACAGCATATATCACTTTAGGAAGGTATGAGATGAATCATGCCACCTTTCATATTCCTTAATGTATACAAGTTTCATCACAACAAGAGACAAAGTCGTACGTTTTATAAGGCTTAACAGCCAAACAATCAAACTACATTTTGAAAATTCATTTTTATCTTCAGTGTTGAAACACATTACTTGGAACCAGAACACTGTGGACCAACCGTGGACCAACCACGAACCAACTATGGACCAACCTTTTTCCCCCCAGATGTGACCATGTCCAGTGTCTCCAGGTTCAGCTGTGCGTGAGTTTGCTTGATGTGTTCAGTGGTCAGCTCAACCAGTCCAGCTGGCGATTACAAAGATTGAAAACAAGCTCATTTCAACTGGACAGTTGCTGTTGTAGGTCATTAATATTTGGTTTGGAGAGTTGCTGTTGTAGGTCATTAACATTTGGTTTTGAGAGTTGCTGTTGTAGGTCATTAACATTTGGTTTGGAGAGTTTATATAATTTCTAAAAATAAATTTCACAAGTTCATGAGATCTTGTCTTTCCCTAAAAATGAGCTTATTGCTCTTGGATCAAAAGACACACAATTTTTTTAAACATAAAGAATTGCAAAGCTTACCTTCCAAGGCGAACTCTTTGGCCGACTGTGACACAGCTAGCAGTGACTTGAAGGCGCTGACGACCTTTAACCTTCTGTTCATGTCCCGAGCGCCCTTGTCATCAGGTCCAGATTTGGTGAGTGTGTCAAACAGTCCAACTAAAACTTTGCTGACCAATTTCCCTGTTGTTTTCTCTTCCTTGGCATTCTCTGGTGTGTCATCTGGATGGAATGATGGGACAATGACAACACATCATGGATCAACATTTAATAGACTTTTGGATGGAATGATGGGACAATGACAACACATCATGGATCAACATTTAATAGACTTTTGGATGGAATGATGGGACAATGACAGCACATCTCAGATGTGCATTTAGTGGAGATCTTGAAAAAGTTAGATATTTTGATCATATTCTCATTCATGGTCAACCTTTAAATTGGTTTTATTGCTTCCTTCTTTCGTAGAGATTAGCAGAACGTACATTACGAAATTCTGACTAGTTGCAAAGCTGGGAAAACTGGCCGGGGGGAGGGGGGGGGATTTTCAGAAATAATAAATACAGGGCGAGGGGGATGGGGGTTAAGATAGCTAGCAAGACTGCCAGGTGTCAAACTGTCAGATGTAAAAGTGCCAGGTGTCAAACTGCCAGTTGTCAAACTGCCGCCTTGCAACAGTAGCAAGGGGGGGGGGGGGGGTGGTGGGATTTTCAGAAATAATAAATACAGGGCCATGGTGATGGGGGTTAAGATAGCTAGCAAGACTGCCAGGTGTCAAACTGTCAGATGTCAAAGTGCCAGGTGTCAAACTGCCAGTTGTCAAACTGCCGACTTGCAGTAGTAGCAACAAATTAACTTTATTTTTTCAGAGTAAATAGATTAATCAATATCAGCTTTTATGTTGTTAGAGTGATTAGATTTAACATATCAGCTTGTATGTCATCATAGTGAATAGATTAAACATATCAGCTAGTGCATTTTGCTTGAAAAGTGTTTGTTTTAAACACTAAAAAGTCAATGCTGGCCTACCATATCCCAGTGTGGCATCAAAAAGCTCAGAGATCGTGGCCACATCCATCATCCTGTCTGGGTTCTTCTTCAAGTGCCGGCTCTCTTCACAGCACAGCAGGGCCAAGAAGTCCAAGCTGGACGAGTGCAGGATCAGACGGTTGGCGCTGTGGTCATCCAGCATGGAGCAGATGGATTCTGGGGGAACATTTCACACCTTGTTGACAACTGACACAAACAGGGGCCTTAAAAACTGAGGCCGGGAACTTCTCAACAAAATGGTAAAGTAAAAATTTTATGTTTTAACGACCTGCGTGCGGCTCCGCCAGTCGGCCACCAATTGGTTTTGACTCTAAAAAACATGGTTCTTGAAAAGAAATTTGGCTCTCAAAATTTTTTAAATTCTCCTGCTGCTGATTTTTGGCTCTTTTGGCTCATGAGTTTGCCGACCACTGGGTTAAGCTGCTATGAGTGACACTAAAAAAAAATGTATAATAAAAAAAATGTTCTTCCAAAAATTGTACCAGAAGGGAAAAAAAATGTCAAAAGTTTTGAACAGCATCTTGACACTGCTCATGAAGATGTCCACTTACCAACTAGAGGGGCCCAGATGGGGCCCAGGACAACAGTGAGGGTGGACAACACTTTGGCTTCGTGCGTCTGCAACAGGCTGGACAGGAGTCTAAGCACACTCACAGACACACCGGCAAACGCATTGCCAACATCATCTTTTTCTGAAGAAGAAATTTCCAATCCAAAATATGTTGTGAAGAGAAGATAGATTTAAAGGATCATAACCAGTCAAGCCCCATGATCGAGTGTCTAGACCAGTGATTCTCAACTTTCCTAATGCGGCGACCCTTCAATACAGTTCCTCATGTTGTGGTGACCCCCCCACAACCATAAAATTATTTTCTTTGCAACTTCATAAATATGTGTTTTCTGATGGTCTTAGGTGACCCCTGTGTAAGGGTCGTTGGACCCCCAAAAGGGTCGCGACCCACAGGTTGAGAACAGTAGGACTGTCTTTGTAGGTGCATTTTTGGTTGGGCAGTTGAAGAAAGATCCTAGAAGCGGATGGTTGTACATTATTGTCTTTCTTACAGTGAGCTGCATTATACATGTGCTTGATTAAATGTGCAGCCTGAGAGATATGTTTTCTGGATTAAAGTTTACATGGCTATTGGAAAAGCACTTACATTCAATTTGGTGCGTCTACGATGTATGAATAAATTGTTAAAGAATTCGATGAAGGAAACAAGTACGGATTTTGGCAGAAGGGGTTTAAAAATTTGCCTGCCCTACACTATCCTCAAACACATACGAGATACAAATGTTCTGACCTTGCCACTGCAGCACAACCAACGAGGTCAGAGACTTCAGCCCTGTTTCATTTCCCAAGACCTCCAGCCTGGAGTTTGTGTCGTTGATGACGCAAGCTGTCAGAAGGTCAGCGACGGATTCATACATCCGCAAGAGGTCAATAAGAGTCAGGGCACTGGCTGACCCTGTCCGGCCTCTGGACATCTCATCACAAAGCTGGTGAATGGTTCCAGGGTTGATGGTACTGGACGATTTCATTAGATCATTTGATAGTTATTTGTTGATATTTTTTAAATGATATTTATTAATTGATATTTATTAGAGGATATTTATTAGATGATATTTATTAGATGATATTATACATTCTTATTTATTAGGTAATATTTACTAGTTGATATTTATTAGTTGATAATTATTAGCTGATATTTTACATTGGCATACAATTATCTGATTTCTGTTTTAACTGATCCTCTTAAACACCACAATGACATTATATTAAACCAATCCAACCTAGGCTCTCATCATTTCAACTGTACACATATCTGTTTTACTACCAAGGCATAATATCCCAGGTAAGAAATGGCAAGTGCAGTTCGAATTGGGTTCTTGAAAGAAAATAATATTTAAAATTTTGTGCAGGAAAACATTGAGAGAAGTTGTATATGATATTTTCTTAAAAAGCTCTTAGCGAATGGTAAACCTGCCTGTTTTTTTAAATCAGGTACTGGAAATTTACATGACTTTAAATTTAAATATTGTTTGTCCGCCTTTCAAAAACCGTTAGATCATAAAATACTGACATTCTGTTACTGACCTTTAAGGTGTTTCTCTGAAAACATTTATCAGCGTATGTCATTCAGACAACTATGAGAGTATGCCATTCAAACAGCTATGAGAGTATGTCATTCAGACAACTCACCTCCTCTGACACCTATCAAAGTATGTCATTCAGACACCTATCAAAGTAGGTCATTCAGACCACTCACCTGATCAGAGAGGTTAAGATGGAGTGAGCTCTAATCTTGTCCAGGCACGTGTGAGGGGTCAAGTTCAGGACGTTGACCAAGAGTTTGACCATTGAGGAGATGAGACTGGGAGTGGCCAAGTTCTGATTGGGGGCTGGTTGTCCTTGAGGATTGTATGCCCCGCCTGTCACAGAATTGTTGCAGTTACTGGAATGGCTGGGTCATGTCAATGGCATAGTGGGAGGAGATATGCTTAAACTCCCCTCCCCACAGGGCAAATAATAAATCATTACAGTGGACTCAAATGCCAGCGTATGATAGTCTTGACCAATGAAGTGTGGTGACCACAAATAAAAAAATTATAAAAAAAAAAAAGATAGAAAAAGGGCATTGACTTCTTTATTGAACTTAAACAACAAAATTTTACAAGGGCAATGTAAAAAGAAAAGGGGGAAAAAGGGGAAAAAGGGGGGGGGGTGTGAAAGGATCTCTTTATAGAATGGTTGGAAACAGTTTACTAGGTGAATCTCTTTATAGAATGGTTGGAAACAGTTTGTTAGGTACATCTCTTTATAGAATGTGTGGAAATAGTTAATTATGTCATCTCATTATAGAATGGTTGGAAAAAGCTATGATAAGATTTATTGACTGAGCTTAACTACTGTAGGTCATTGTGACTATTGTCATGTTTAATGTTACAGTACTGTAATATTTGCACTGACCGTCCACTCCATGAGAGGTATCGGTGTTGGTTGAGGTGCTCAGCGTGTTATCTCGACTGGACAACTTGCTGTGGTCAGTGGAAAGTGTCACCTGAGGACAAAACAAAACTGAACTGATGGGTGGATCTCAGTGGACAGATGTCCCAACTATTGGTGCTAGATGATCTGGTTATGATTGTTGTAGAGCCAAACCCCGACGGCACATCAATCGTTGCAGAAAAAAGAGTTAATAAGAAAAACTTGGTGAAAAAGAAAGGTTGAAGATGGTATGTGGTGCAGATGGTATCTGGTGAAAATGTAATGTGGTGAAGATGGAAAGTGGTGTTGATGTTATGTGGTAAAGATGGTAAATGATGAAGAAGGAGTGTGCCGCCCGTGAAGATGGAGTGTGCCGCCCATGTGATGCTGGAGGGAACGTGACAGTAAAACAAAGCTGAAATTAAACCTAAGAGACTGACCCTGGATCGTGGTGTGAGGTTTGGGGTGGGGTTCCCTGTGGGGTTTGTTGACCAGCTGGAGACACTCGTTAGCCCCGTCGTCCACCCGGTCTTGTCTCCACCGGTTGTATCTAGAAGAAAAGTATTTCAACAGATCTCAGTTCATAACAAGACATTCAAACAAAGGCAATGAAACCATACAGCACTATGGGGTTAAACTTGTTACAGGTGCATGATGGAACAATAAGAGTTAATCTGTATGTTGAGACAAGCATCTGACATGATGGAATGATAAGAGTTAATCTGTATGTTGAGATATGCATCCGACATGATGGAATGAATGAGTTTATCTGTATGTTGAGATACGCATCTGACATGATGGAATGAATGAGTTTATCTGTATGTTGAGACAGGCATCTCACATGATTGATGTTACAAACGCTATGGTTTTGAAAATTTAATCTCTTTTAAGATTTGGCTTGTAGAATAAACAATACGCAACAATGGACTGAGAAAAACAGTATATGCAGAAAACGATACCAAAGCTGCTAGTGATACTAACAATATTCAGTTTAATTACACTATTAAATTTTTTATCAATAAAAAAATTCAAATACAGAAACGAAAAAAAACAACAAAAAAACTATATCAACTTACAGCACAGCAAGTGAAAAGGTACACTCCTCAAATATACTAATATTACTTAACAAACACAAATATCTCTCTCTCACTCTACCTCTGCTAAGAAATCTGCGGGCATATATATATATAGGGATGTCATCAGAACGATCTGGTAAAGAAATTCTATTAATTGTGCCACATGATGGCATTCTTTAGAACAAAAAGAACACATTTGAACATAAACAACCTTTTCCCTGTCAAGGCAGGGGTGGGTAAGGAATGACACGGCACATGTACGCGCTGACATCAAGATCAAGGCCATACTAGAGGGAGACTGGTGACAGTGACTAAAAATAGCTCTACCACGAAAACAAAAAAATAGGCCCAGGCATAGGCAGCACTATAACATTGAAGTAAGCTGTAGATGGGGTGATCTCCCTTTCCATGACATAATGGCTGGGATACTGGCAGCTAACAGCATGAATGGTACATGATCGGATGGGCTTACCACTGGACACAGAGATGTCCAACGAGGACTCCATCATCTTGGAGATAACGGTGGTGGCCAGGACGGGCTGGACCAGGGAGGATGTGTACAGGGAGTTCAAGAGGTCGGCGAGGCTGGCGTAGAAGTTGGTGTGGTCAAGGAGGGCGACCAGTGCATTGGTCCCGATTAACATCAGCTGTGAGAAACCATATGTGAAAGCTTTATACACATAAACACAGCGAGGACAACACAGAGGGAGGACAATGGAAACATAGAGACAGGGCAATCACAACACAGTGAAGGCAATGACAACACACAGCGAGGACAGTGACAACACAGGGAGAGGACAATGACAACATGGAAAGAGGACAATGACAAAACCGAAAGAGGACAATGAAAACACGGAAAGAGGACAATGACAACACAATTAGTGGATAACACAGGGAGAGGACAATGACAACACAGAGAAATGACAACATAGAGATGTACAATGACAACAGATGAGGGGGGGGGGGAAGCAACATGTACTGATCAGCATCGAGTGCCAGACAATGAAGACAAAAAGAGTTCATAAAATCAACATGTTCTGATCAGCCTTGAACTTTCAACAACTATTGTCAGTTCATGTCCAAAGAGTTGGCACATCTACACACAGAGTTGGCACATCTACACACAGAGTTGGCACATCTACACACAGAGTTGGCACATCTACACACTGAGTTGGCACAACTTCACACAGAGTTGGCACATCTACACACAGAGTTGGCACATCTACACACAGAGTTGGCACATCTACACACAGAGTTGGCACATCTACACACAGAGTTGGCACATCTACACACAGAGTTGGCACATCTACACACAGAGTTGGCACATCTACACACAGAGTTGGCACATCTACACACAGAGTTGGCACATCTACACACAGAGTTGGCACATCTACACACAGAGTTGGCACAACTTCACACAGAGTTGGCACATCTACACACAGAGTTGGCACATCTACACACAGAGTTGGCACATCTACACACAGAGTTGGCACATCTACACACAGAGTTGGCACATCTCCACACAGAGTTGGCACAACTTCACACAGAGTTGGCACATCTACACACAGAGTTGGCACATCTACACACAGAGTTGGCACATCTCCACACAGAGTTGGCACAACTTCACACAGAGTTGGCACATCTACACACAGAGAATTTGATTTTTCTTTAAACAGAGCCATAGGTATTTCTACACACAGAGAATTATTATTTCTTTACCAGTGCGTTAGTCTTTCTACACACAGAAAAAACAACAACATTTACTGACCTGATAATCAGGGTCTATTACCAGTGGTCCTTGCCATGTACCAGGAGTTGTCTCCACATCTCCACTTGGCATGGGCTGTGCGGTCAAGTTGACTAGCAACAAGGCAGCCTGGCATGACAATGAATCAGCTGATTTATGTGGACACTAACATTAAAAACTGTGACCAGATTTACAGGCGATGGCATAGGTAAAAAAAATATAAACTGGGAATTTAAGCAAGATTTTATGCCAAACGCTGACATTAAACCACTGCCATCATTATTGCAACAAGCACAATAGTAAAGGACATAAGTTTGAAGTACGGCCCATAGGGAACACAGAAATTTTTTTTGTGTACATATTTTAAAGATGACCCCGTGATCATTGAAGTCATGTTAAAAATAACCAGCAAATACATTTATCTGCTGGTTGCATGTATTTAGAAGGATGATTTTTCTTGTTTTGTTTAACATACAGTTTTCTACATGGCAAAGGTCACAGTGAAATGCGACAAATCTTCATCCGCTTATTCAAGATTAAGAAAAACAGATGTGCGCCAATAGGGTATAGGAAGAATGAATGCAGAAGCGAACTTCTGGCCTCAGTTAACACCATTTCTTGATTAACAATATGGGAACCTGGGGAGCTACCGCGTGATGTCCCACTTTGAGAGGTCTGCTGGAGTGGGTGTCTTGTGCTGATGGAAAATAAAAAACCAGAAGACCCATGTGTATCTAAATGGAATCACAAGGAGGAGGCTACCTGCTGGCGGACCATGCAACATTCCTCCGGGTCCAGCAAGATGCTGAACGCTGCTCCCCACAGACCGCCAGGGATGTGCTTACAGTTGGCAGTTACAAGCAGACGACCAGCTTCAGTAGAGGTCAAGGCCACAGCAATGCCAAGGCCAGCAGCCCTTACCTAAAACAATGATGACAGAGGGAGAAAAAAATAATATTGATAGCTTGACCAATTACAGCAAATTAAACAAAGTTTAACGATTTATTAATTCCAGAATGGAATTTATTACATTGTCATTAACTGATAAATTCTAAATTTTAGGTACAGTGTAAATATTTTAAAACTTGTTATATTATTTGTGAGCCGATTTACTTTCAGTGTATTTTTTTTCTTTATATGTCCGCCATGAAGAAAACCTTCATTGAGAAATTTTTGTTAAAAACACAACAGCTGTTTGCAAAAGTGACTGCACCCCCCCCCCCCTTTTTCTACAGCCTTGTACTCCATACTGGTTAGCGTCTGACCTCTGAATCTCTATATCCCCACAGTGTCAACAGCCCGTTTAAGCCATGGTCAGTCCCACCGTTTATCTAAATTTTAGGTACAGTGTAAATATTTTAAAACTTGTTATATTATTTGTGAGCCGATTTTACTTCAGTGTATTTTTTTTCTTTATATGTCCGCCATGAAGAAAACCTTCATTGAGAAATTTTTGTTAAAAACACAACAGCTGTTTGCAAAAGTGACTGCCCCCCCCCCCCCCTTTTTCTACAGCCTTGTACTCCATACTGGTTAGCGTCTGACCTCTGAATCTCTATATGCCCACAGTGTCAACAGCCAGTTTAGGCCATGGTCAGTCCCACCGTTTGGCTCCTGTCTTGTGTACAGCCAGCTCTTGGCCCACTCCTGAGAACAACGGCCAGCAGTTGTTAGTGGATCCAAAGGTCAAAGTTCAACAAACAAACATAAAAACATAGGCATATAAATGCATATTAAAACTAATTTTAGAGAAAAGAAATAATGGCTGCTGATATGCAAATTAACGAGGGCAAAGGGCACGATAATAGGGGCAATGAATCAAATGAGTCAAGTCCCATTAAAAAGGTGAGTTGAATACCTGGTCCTCTGTGTTACTTATCATCTCATAGGCCAGGTGTCTCAGGCACAGGGTACTGGACTTGGTGACACCTTTACCCATGTAGGACCGAGAGGTGCCACCTCTGCCGATGTGAAATGACCAGACAACCTGATCGGTCGACACACAAAATAACAATCATAAAAGCGACCGATGACAAAATATGGATATTAACATAAGAACAAGACTGATTTTCATGCAGTGTGACATTTGTGCCTTCTGCAAAGCACAGCTGTTATTCTATAGTTATCATTTTAAAAAAGTTAAATAACATATTTTGACTTTTTATTAACAATAATAAGTTTCGCAAACATGTCTCCATCAGATGTTCAAATACATAATTCAATCATTTTTTTTTTGGTTGAATTTTTTTTTTTCTTCAATTTTCCAATTTTTTTTTTACACGAATCTCCCCCTTGAATGAATACAAAAGAAACATAAATGAATGATCCCAATCATGTCAGTGGTGAAGCAAAATTACAACACCTGGATGTCAACCACAGCAAAGGGAAAGAAATCACAGATTTACCTCTAGCAAACTGTTGAGCAGTTGATTACACAATGACGCGGCGTCCAAACTCGAAGTCTCTCGGCTCCAGCCTGGTCTGAAAATACAAGACATTATCACAAAATACTCTAATTTAATTGCTCCTCTTTTATGTGTTAGGATTAATTTGTACCCAAGACTTTTTTGATAAGAGTTAAAATGTTGACCAAAATTCAAAACAACAGAAAACATGGCGTGGAGTGCTAACATTTCATGTCTCTATATGTGCGGTTGTGTGCGCGCGTGTTTGTTTTAGTGCCTAGTAATTAACTTCTTTAACCCCAGGCTGACCTGGCTGTGACGTGCATGAGGCAGGCCAGATTTCCCTCTAATGTCGCCAAATTGTAGAAGTGCGGGGCGTCTGTAATGTTGAGTCCTCTCTGTAAGGCCCTCACTAAATCTCCTCTCATCTGGACAGGCTTCAGTCTGGACGTGCGATACAAATGTTACTTTAAGAAACCATAAATAATTTCAGAAAAAAAAAAGAAGATATTTTTAAAATCTATGACGGGACATGCTGAATAATTTGAGTAACTTCTTCCTTATTTTATTTACAAGAGACTTCAGTTACACTCTTGCTCAGTATCTCCAATTATTAAAAACTATAAAATGTAGCTGACCTTTGAACTTTCTGCACAATATTATATTTGAAAGAATCCTTTTGTGAATTTGGGAGAACAAACAAAAATTTTAACTGATATTTCCTATTTCCTACTATTTCCTACAAATGCTGTAATCTGACCTGAAACTCATATTGGACTTATGATTGAACTAATGCTGTAATCTGTTCTGAAACTCATATTGGACTTATGATTGAACTAATGCTGTAATCTGATCTGAAACTCATATTGCACTTATGATTGAACTAATGCCGTAATCTGACCTGAGACTCAGCTGGTAGGGGAGGGTCAAGTTTAAACTGGTCAAATAATGCAGTAACTCTTTGTTCAAACTTCTGCAATGATAAAATAAACACTTGGAGTAAGACACATGAATTAATCTTTTTTAAAACATGTTATGAGGGTGGACTTTAACAAAGTTAGTTCAAAAGTTTTAAAAGCCTGCATTGGGGTAATGGCAGAAGTGGGACAAGATACGAAACTAAAATTTAAAAAAAACACCAAAGTGTCTATGTTTGACAAAAAACAACATTTTGTGTGAATTGCCGTCAGTCATTTCTCAGCAACCTGACATCATAAGAATACCATCTCTTCAGTTTCCCTCATGCAACCCCAACATTTATTAGCAGAATTTTCAGAGAATTGCATAATTTTATTGTTTTTAGGATAATCTTGAATGCATAAATTAAAGCTTCACATATTTATTGGTGGAGACAAAAAATAATCTGCTAAATGAATCTCATGACTGCATTTGACAATGTGTGTCTTTAAACATGGTTACCTCTTGATACTGGGAAGTGCAGAATCCGCTCCAGACGTTGGTGTGTTCAGCAAATTCACCAGCGGTCCGTTGGGTTGATGCAGCTTGTTGACCAACCAAACAAGGGCGGGGCCGGGCGACAAGGGGTGTGGTTTCAAGTACTGAAAGGCAGAGCTGATAAACCGAAGGATGTGCAGGAGGAGAGACTGGTCGGACACGGATGCGGGGGTCACCATCATAAACCTAGGTCAAGGACACACAAAAGTGAGTTAAAACATTAGCTTACATTTGAAATCGCCCAATATAAAGACATGATGCAGCAATATTTATAGATCATCTGTCTTTCTAATATACACATTCAATTCTGTTTATACTTTGCTCGGTGTCACGTATATATGTTTATATTGTCATATATATATTTCGAATATGGTGCTGGGTGGCCAAGCTGAGTCAACCCCAAGCCGAGCCGACCCCAAGCAAAGTCGACCCCAAGCTGACTCGACCCCAAGCTTGAGGCCTAGAGTTCAATCCCTGGCAAAAGCCTAGGCAAGCAAAAACACCCCCATCCCGGGTGGATTGACGTGTCAACCAAAGGCAGCACCACATTGACACAATGAAACACTCCGGCAACTCGTGCGACGTAGAATGCATAAAGAGCACAGTGAAACATTCCGGCAACTCCTGCGACGTAGAATGCATAAAGAGCACAGTGAAACATTCCGGCAACTCCTGCGACGTAGAATGCATAAAGAGCACACTGGAACACACACACACACAAACACACTGCTGGTCATCTGCTGCATCCTGGTCTATTTTTCAGTACTCTTAACTAAGTCCTGCCATTGCATCAAATAGGCAAGGCCGAGAGAGTGAGGCCGATAGATTGAGCAACTCTCCTTCATTTATAACAAATACAGCTCAAGTCAAGGTCAAGGCTGCTACTCAAGTCAAAGCCTTGGTCATCTTCGCATGCGAAGGAGGAACAAAATATACAAAATATATTTTCATTTTGTGCATTATTTAAGTGGGCAGGTTTAGTTAAGAGAATCAAGATTCTCAAATGTTTGCTGATGGTTTTCTTTAAAGAAATTTATGAAAAACTTTGAAAAAAGAAATGTTTAAAAGAATTAAAATGTCATTTTAAACATTGAATTTTAAATCTGCAACAAAAATGTTTTAAATTAAAAAATAAATAGAAATAAAAAAAATATAAAAAAAAGAATTATGAGCACTTTCTAATAATACAATTATTATAATTATAAGCTCATGACATTCAAAGTTCTGATTCTTCAATAGTATTCACTGTGGGGATGGCAATATTTCCACTATTCATACTTCAGTAATTTCTTACTTTTCCAGGACTAGATACCACTCATGGCTTGAGAAGAACTGCACCATGGACGCCATCTTGAGAGCTGTAGTGTAGGACAACATCCTGTCAAGGGCAGCAATCACAGAGGCGTGCGATGATGCCTCCTGGATTGACCTGATGTTAGAGCACATGCTCCATGACACGCTGGAAGTTTCAAGCACAACACGCTCGACACGCGTCAATGCCAGCACGTCACTGAACCTGGACAAAATCAAAGATGGAATCAGACTGTCTTAAATTAAGCAAGGGCAATCAAAGAGTTCTCTACACTGAACCTGGACAAAATCAAAGATGGAATCAGACTGTCTTAAATTAAGCAAGGGAAATCTACACCAAAAAAACATCCCTCTATTTCATTTTTCCATAAAGAGAAATTGTTCCTTTTATTCTTCTCACATGTGTGGTTTATGACCTGTTACAGAGGGTCAAGGCATAACTTAAAGAGAGTCAGCTGTGGCTGGCCAATAGTCAACATTATGTGTGCCACAAAAAACTAAATTCAGAAGTTGCGTTTGGGGGTAGAGAAGGAGCACATACTGTGTAATCTTTAGTTAATCTCTACACAATAAGAATACAATCGCAGCAGGCAATCTTTTTCTTATTTATATGCAAAATATAGGCGGGTCAGTTTCAGAACCTATATATTGAAACCCATATACATAACGGAAGCCTGTAGACATAAGTTTTAAGCTTAATGATCCAAACCTATATATGGAAGCCCATAGACATAATGTCAGCCAATACATAGACATAATGTAAGCCCATACATAGAAACAATGTAAGCCCATACATAGACATAATGTAAGCCCATACATAGAAACAATGTAAGCCCATACATAGACATAATGGGGAAACCCCCACCCCAATATAATTTAGAAAATTTCTATAAAAAAACAACATATTTTAATTTGTAATAGTTGAAAGACAGCAAGGCTTAAAAGGTGGATTATCATAGCCGCACCAAAGTACTGACTCATTGTTGGTTGCAGAGACCAGGCCGGTTTCGAATGATTCCAGGAGAGCGTCAAGTCCTCCTTGCCAGGCACAGTTCCAGGCAATTTTCATCATCTCTCTTGGGCCGCTGGTCACCATGATGTCTTTGCTGGGGTCAGGCAGAGTTACAGCGCTTGGGCTGCTGATGTGATGACAGTTGGGCTTGAAGGGGAGGCGGTACCTGCAGTTGGAATGGATATTTGCAATTTAGAATGGCAGATGAGAAGTTAACTGACTGACTGAATCTGGACATTGAACATGTTATCACATGGTGGCCATGTCTTTTATTAAACAAAATGGTTGTGGAAATATTAATAGATAATTAATAAAACATGTCAAGATTCCATTTTTGTCTATAAATAACTTAATTCTATGACTATCTTTTACTTTGCACAAAGTGCTATATCCACAAATTTTGTTTAAAACAAAAGTTTGGCAAATGATCACCCATTTACCTGAAAAATAAAATATTTGCCTCATCAAAGTAGCCACCAAACATGAATGCTGGTTACAGGACCATAAAGATGGTACCACTGAATGACCTGACCAATCATACCTTTGAATGACCAGACCCCATCATACCATTGAATGACCTGACCCATCGTACCTTTGAATGACCTGAGCAGGAAGACTAAACTTTGTTCCTGGAGTCTGGGACTGACCAAATCTGTATGGGGAAAAAAAACGAAACACCTACGTCCGTTACTTTTGCACAGAAGCTTCAAAAAGTTGTTCAAGTATTTTATCCAAAACTTAAAAGAAAATAAAAAAGGAATAAATGACTAGATACAAAGATTTTTTTTTTCCACCCAACTTCCCATACCTAAAATGGGTGTGCACATCATCAAAAACAAACAATCCTTTCAGTATTTTCGACTGCGTTCCGCGGCTTACAAGTGTTTATCGACACCTGTCTAGCTCTGACGCTTGTGCCTATTGGGGTAGCTTTCCAACCCTCTCTTTAAGTTTATTAAAAATTATGCAGATGTACAGCCCATTAAACATACTTCAATAGGCAATCAAATTTCATCTTTAAAGGAAAAAAAATTGTTTTTTTAGATATTATTCTTTCTTATTCATGAAGGTTGTTTAAGGTTTAATTATTCTAAAAAGTCATTGATTGAAGATAAAACATTGCATAGGACTATAATCACAATATATATACAACTAGCAAATTATATTTTACTTAAATTTGTAAAGTATAATAAATAAATAAATATAAAGATGTATAAAGATACCATTATGTTATTTGAGCAAGGGAGAAAAAAGCAGATGAATTGAATTTGAAGATAAACATCAAAACGCAGTCCAAAGAAATGTCTCCACAAATTGAACTACTAATTGATACATGAAGATTGGAATGTAGCCAGGCTTTGCACTAATAACACATGCAGGTTGGGATGTTTAAACAATTTTTTTAAAATTAGAAAAATAATAAAATTATTTTGCGTATAAATGGTTGGTTTCTTTTGTTTGGTCAGTACCTTAATTAGATGAAAATTACTAAACTAAACATACCGACCATTTACTAAACATACTCACCATTTACTAAACATACTCACCATTTACTAAACATACCCACCATTTACTAAACATACTCACCATTTACTAAACATACCCACCATTTACTAAATATACCCACCATTTACTAAACATACCCATCATTTACTAAACATACTCACCATTTACTAAACATACCCACCATTTACTAAATATACTCACCATTTACTAAACATACCCACCATTTACTAAACATACCACCATTTACTAAACATACCCATCATTTACTAAACATACTCACCATTTACTAAACATACCCACCATTTACTAAATATACCCACCATTTACTAAACATACCCACCATTTACTAAATATACCCATCATTTACTAAACATACTCACCATTTACTAAACATACTCACCATTTACTAAACATACCACCATTTACTAAATATACCCACCATTTTCTAAACATACCCATAATTTACTAAACATACCCACCATTTACTAAACATACCCACCATTTACTCAACAAACCCACCATTTACTAAACATACCCACCATTTACTAAACATACCCACCATTTACTAAACATACCACCATTTACTAAACGTACCCACCATTTACTAAACGTACCCACCATTTACTAAACATTCCACCATTTACTAAACATACCCTCTATATACTAAACATACCCTCTATATACTAAACATACCCACCATATACTAAACATACCCACCATATACTCAACATACCCAACATCAAACTTTGCCACCTCATCAAACAGAAGCAGTGTCAAGATGTGAGACGTGTCTATCTTTAGCTGCTCATCCGCCTGGTTGAGTAGACTCACTGTGGATGCATGTGAATGGATATATGGATGCAGTGGATGGGTACATTTCTAACTAACAATGCTTAAATAGAATAAATGAGACTGTCCATCAGATAATCACTACAGTAAAACAATCAGAGTGCTAACAGGACTATGGCACGGATTCCATCAAATGGATTAGATAAAAATAATAAAATTCAAACTCATAATTTTTTTAACACATTCCTAGCAAGTAATTGTTTTTGGTAAGGATTGATATTGTAATATATATAGAGCAGGATATTGACACAGTTATTCATAATATTCTTTAATGAAATCACAAGCAATCAGTTTGGAAGAATGTGGCTGGATGAAGAGCATTACCTCGCAGCAGATCGGTATACAGGGTATGGTCCCTTGCCAGGGTGTGTCGAAGGGAATAATCGTGATGAGTCAGACTATGAAGGATGGAGAGACAAGCTGGCAGGTAGGGGCTTGCATCATCCTGGTGATAAAAATATGGCATTTTAATGGATCGGACATTGGTCATTTTCTGTGAGGTGAATACTTTAGATGAATTTGATTGGTTGGTCTTTGTGAGCTAATCGGTTTTAATTGATGTAGGATATTCCCCAGAACCAGTATTGTTAGATAAACCTAGAAAAAAGTACTTAGGTAAGAGGTCGAGGTTACCTGCAGTTTTTGGTCTTGGCCTGGTTTTAATACAGACTTTTGTATTATAGAGCACACCATCTCCACCCCGCCCCTGGACTTAAAGACTGCATGCAGGTGAGGATCTGAAAAGTTTTAAAATAAACTTGTAGCTGGTGCATCAACAAACAAATTATTATTAAAATAGACAACCTCCTCTGAGGTAAAGCTACCTTTCATCATGATGGCAAGTTGGTCTCCAGCTGACTTTTTGACCGCTGGATCCACAGGGTCAGAGCTGAAGATGTCGTAGACTTGTCGCACGCCCTCCTCCTGAAATGAAATGAAGAGATTTCTTTGAAAAAATTGATGAGAATTTTTATGGTGCAGATGGGAATATGTGATAAGTTATCATCTCGAACAATATGATGTTAACAAGCACATGAACTCAAGCTGGTATTTTTTCTATATCATTCAGCTAAATAGGGCCAAAGACAATGTTCCCTTTAAGCTGCGCAGTTTTGAGTACCACGCAGCAAATTTCCATGTAAGTGTGTGTGTGTGTTTGTGGGCTTTAAAATTTTGCACAAAAAAAATTGATGCTGTAAAACTTTGCACACAACTGTATGATTTTGCACATGAACCAACAAACCTTAGAGGGAACATTGGCCACAGACCATGTAACCATCTTTACCCTGACTGCATTCAAGATCTTTTGAAAAAATAATTAGACCTTGCAAAGAGCTGAAAGTTTCTAAACTGTCGAAATGTCATCTACCACTCTATGGCACGCAACACTATGAAATTTGGTTAAATTTAAGAGAAGGGTAAAGGTTTTATTTTGAAAAAAATTTTATTTTATTGAACATTGAAATTCAAATATTTATGAAGACATTCAACGCCACAAGTATCGTTTTAATAAGAATCAGATTGAGAGCTCAGTTAATGAGTAATTCATACATTGGAGAAAAGCTGTCACAGTGCCAAGGAGAATAGTGTAAAAGAATAAAGTCCAAACTTGAAGATTTCTCAAGGTGAAAACTTACCTTAAACACAGATCTGCTGCAGTTGTCTTCAACCAGCTGGGTTGTCTGGAGTATCAGGCAAGCTGACATGCTGGCGGGGTCAAGGTCACGTGCATGTGGAAGTTTGCTGTCCGCGGCCTGCTCATTGCTCAGAAACCACTTCAGATGTTTGGCGGAGTCTATGCGCAGCCTGGTTTTTTAATAAAGAAAGTAAATAAATAGCAGGTGCTCCATTGGAATAAATGACACGGCCGGGTTAAATCCCTTTGAAATATGGAAATCGTCCATCAATGGGGAAAAAAAAAAAAGGAACCATATATGAATAGAAACCTTTTTTTTTAAAGGGAATTTATCTTAACAAGACATATTATATAGTTGTTTAATTAAATTTAAAAAAATTAAAATATTTTAAACTTCTTTTTTTTCTCTTACAATTTGAACAAATTTTGTCCAGATGATGTTCACAATGGTAGGACTTGTAAGAGAAATGTGTTCAATGGACTCTTCCCACAAATGTTTTCTATCTTCATTAGTTGCTAAACTTTCTTTATTTAGGAGTTGCTGATTTCATACAAGACTTAGACAGAGAGTTTTAAAGGATAATTGTTTCAACATTTCTGTGAAGTAAGTACAACGGTCTTTTAATGATGAGATGTAGCACACAGAGTAGGAGAAAGGCTGACAGATCACAGAAATAAAAAAAAGGGAGTTTTTACTTAATACTTAAAAGCCTTTAACGGCAGACAAAGAGTGACAACAGAAAGACAGACTTAACCTATGGTAGTGATAGCCAACAGGAAATTATCACGATTTCTGTATTACACCAGTCACTTAGACATCATCGTACCTTTTGTCGGACAGAAGCATCAGTCGCAGGCTTCCTCTCATCTTGTCCAGTAAGGCCAGGTTGTGGGTGGTGGTGGTGGGGTCCAGCATGTACCACAGACTTCGACCCAGGGGGGAGCTGTGATCTGTGTAAGACTAAAAGACATTCCCCCCCCAAGTCTTAGCGAATTTCTAAGCAAACAAATAAGTTTTATGAATACGGTAATTACTTTAGAAATAAGAAAGAAAAAAAGAAATTGGTGGATCCTAGCCAAAAGTTGACAAGTCAGAACTTGACATTATTCCACTTGGGTCTGGTTTACCAGTTGGTGACTGTTTGCAGGTAAAGATATAGTCAAGGATGAAATATAAACTTTTAAATATGCTGATTATTCAGTATTAAAACTGGACTAAGATAAGATAAGATAAGATAAGATTCTTTTATTGATCCAAATAAATGGAAATGTTTTTTGATTGCATTGTACATTTTCAGCACATAAATAAGACAATTTGAAGACAAGACATTTATAATAAATTATTTCAAACAGCCATTCAGTGAGTTCTCTTAGCCAACTCGGGGACTTATTAGTTCTCATGAAGATGTGTGACTTCAGAGGATGCACTCCAGTAAATTCGTACAGATTGGGGAACAAAAGAATTTTTATATCTTTCAGTCCTCGCCCTGATGGAAAGAATTCGTCCCGAACGGCCCGATCCTACGTATCTATGATGAAGAGGGTGGGATGTATCATCCAAAATGTGTTTAGTTTTACAAAAACATCTTCCTTCAAATAGTTCTTCAAGTGAAGGATGTTTAGTTTGTGTAATGTTCCTAGCTTTCTTGATAAGTTGGTTTATGTGGTGTTTAATATCAAACGTTGAATGCCCACACCAGCAGGTAATACTGAAATTAAGGACGCTTCCAATAGTTGCACTGTAGAATAAGTTAACGACTTGCTTGTTTACGCCGAAATTTACAGTTTTTTTTAGGTATAACAGTCTTTGGTTGAATTTCTTATACAGCATTTGGCCCTGATCAAGCCCTGATCATGCCATGTTAGCTTATTATTAATGGTTACACCTAAGTACTTGTGTGCCTCCACTTTTGTTACATTTTGATTTATGTTGAGATCTGTGATCTGGTGTTTCCCCCTCCTGAAATCTACAATCATTTCCTTTGTTTTTGAGAAATTCAGCTGGAGAAAATTTTCATCCCACCAATTGATAAAGCTTGTAACTAAGTTGCGGTATAGGCCTTCTCCCTCAGATATTAAGCCAACAATGGTGGTCTCATTAGCAAATTTTAAGATTGGAATGGTGTAGCTTGAGCTTTGAATATCATTGGTATATATTGTATACAGTACAGGGGAGAGAACACAGACTCAACTTGACCAATCTTGACCCCCCCCCCCCTGGTCAGCAGAAAATTATAATAAATCAACAACATTCTAAGATTAAAAAAAAATGTATACAGTACAGGGGAGAGAAAACAGACTCAACTTGACCAATCTTGACCCCCCCCCCCCTGGTCAGCAGAAAATTATAATAGATCATCAACATTCTCAGATTAAAAAAAAAATTTTTTTGACTCACTTGCAGAACTGGCAAAGATTTGGAGAGGGCCAGTAGAAATTCTTGCCAGAGCCCGTCCGACATGAGAAGCTGGGATTGGAGGAGATGGTGGATGGCATCAGTGGCACAGGTCCTCACCTTTCAGGGATAAAACACTGACATTCACCAAGTGATCACAAAACAACAGCTGCCTCATTTAAACTACATGATTAAAAGGGGGATTTGATACTGCCCACTCTGACGGACCATAGGGTTATTGACAACAAACGTAGCATAGATTTAAGAAAACCAGAGCGCAGTGACCATGCTATAGTAGCATTGATACCAGCGCTATATAAATATCCCATTAATCAATCAAAACCATCAGCATTCTGAGATCTTTGCCATTTATTACAACTCTAGGCTAGAGTTGAAATCTATTAACTTAACGCAGAGTCAACCCAAAAAAAGTTTTCCTCTGATCGGTTGTAAATATCTTCAATGTTATTTTCCATATCTGTTTGAAGCAATGCGTTAAAAGATTAATTTCATCTCTGAATGTAGACAAAAACTCTGATGGGTTATTTTTCCATGTGGCAAAGTTGTCTCAGCTGCACTGTACTTAAAGAGCAGCCAGCAAGTTTGCTGGTAATTTATAAGTGTGTCAGTATGATGCCTCCTCACGATTTGACATTATGTACAGCCCGTCCAAATGTTTTACACTTTAAAGAACAGCACTGCATCAAGTCACCAGCGTAGCCCAATACTGGGTGTGAAAATGGAGGGATCAAGGGCCACACCTTTTGCTTCATTTGAACAAAATTGTCAATTTTAAAAGTTTGAAAAATATTCTCAATCAAACACAATAAAATACTTTTTTGTTTCGTTGTTGTTGTTCCTATAGTTTTTACCTTAGCCACCGAGTCGTTGAGTCCGAAACAAACGAGTTCATAGAGTACATCGGGGTTCATGAGAAACTTGGTTTGAAAACTTTCCTTCGACTTGGGAGATGTTGCGAGACTGACCTGCAGGCTTTTCTGTCAACATGACGGGGAAAATTTATAAGAGATTTTGAAAACGTATCAGTCCTTTCTTCAGACCTGTTTACTCTTACGATTTTGACGTACAATGTACGATTTTGAGGTGTATACATTACATATATTGTATGTTTATTTTTACTATTAAGATAATGTATTGAACGATTTTGTGATGATATTGTACGATTTTAAGAGTTTGAGGGTAAACAGGTCTGTTTCTTTCGCAAGCCATACTTTATAGTTAATCTTTGGCCATTAACATACTTCAATATAGGATTATTTTAGTGCACCAAATAAATGGACATGTGTACATTTTCAGCATGTCAAATAAAAATTAAGACAGTTACCATTCATTTTTATACAACAATTTAAAGCTAACATTCAGTTTTTATGCAACAATTTAAAGTTAACATTCAGTTGTCTTTTTTAAACAAAAATTTAAAGTTAACATTTAGTTTTATAATACAAATTTAAAACCAGGACAAATTTTAACGTAAGAAATTTTAAAAGATTTTTCAAGCACAGTAGTATCCTGTGTTGTCACACCTCACTATATCCAGTTCTTGTACAATTTATACCAGAGTAACCAAAAATATTAAGCAAACCATGCAATCTTTTGAATCACATTAAAAAATGTTTACACTTAAAAATTGAGCAGAGACTAACCTTGACTGTGTCTACAAGCAATTGAGCAGAGACTAACCTTGACTGTGTCTACAAGCAATTGAGCAGAGACTAACCTTGACTGTGTCTACAAGCAATTGAGCAGAGACTAACCTTGACTGTGTCTACAAGCAATTGTGCAGAGACTAAACTTGACTGTGTCTACAAGCAATAGTGCAGAGACTAACCTTGACTGTGTCTACAAGCAATTGAGCAGAGACTAACCTTGACTGTGTCTACAAGCAATTGAGCAGAGACTAACCTTGACTGTGTCTACAAGCAATTGAGCAGAGACTAACCTTGACTGTGTCTACAAACAATTGAGCAGAGACTAACCTTGACTATGTCTACAATGGTTGTGTAACACACTTGACGGACACTGTCCAAGGGATATGACATCAGCTGCAGCAGCACTCCGGTGCATCTGGTGATGACGTTTGTGTTGGATTTTTTAATGCTGCACCTGGCGCAAGACAAGACAAAATTTAATCATACATTTTTTGAAAAGTCTTTCCATGTTTCAGAAAATGTGATTTCAAAATTTTTCTTAAACTTATGAGTGCTGGTATTGTAAGTTTTATAGAATCTAGGCTCCTGGTATTTTGAGTTTTAATATTTTCATGTTCAGGTGTCCAAAATTATATACATAAACCACTGGGGTGAGAGATAATGAAATATTTTCTTAACAATGATAATCTATTACTCTTATAAACAAGAGAGAAATAACTGGCGAATGTATCAATGCAATAATAGCCCAGTGGTAGGAAAATCAGGGTTCGCAAGCTGCACGCCGCTGTTAAGCGAATTGAGTGGGGCTCGGCCTAAAAATTTTAAAAAATCGTCTTGCTGCTGAATTTTGGCTCTTTTGACTAATGAGTTTGCCGACCACGGCAATAGCCTAATCTACTTACAGAGTTGAGATAAATTTGATAAATTTGCAGACAAACGGCAGGTGTAGGTGGTAGGTGAGACTCAACATACTTTCCTCTGCCATAGCGGCCAGTGCATCTTGGCTTGTGTCCTGGTTTAACAATTATTATTGAACATTTCTTTTGGTCATAAAGTAGTGGAGTTGTGTTGGTTAGATTCATTCTTTGGTCCATATGCTAGTATGGGTGTCCATTCTACAAGGCATTAATGAGCAAATGTTTTAGAAGTAACTCAAAATATGTGGCAGATGGCCGAACAGTTCAACAATATGAGTTATTTTTTTTAAAAATGACTCAAATATATCAGACCTGTTTACCCCCAAACTCCTAAAATCGTACAATATGGTCTCAAAATCGTACAATGCAGTATTTTGATAGTAAATAAATAAAAATACAGTATATATAATGTATACAATAACTACTCCTATAGCGTGTTCAGTGGAATCGAGCTGAGCTGGCGTCAAAATATGGAACTGTAGGTAAACAGTAGATGACTGACGTTAACGGCAAACTGCGGTCACTTTGTTTAGCAGACGTGTATCGGCTAATACATATTAAAACTTGACGTCAGATAAGCATAAAATAAAATGTATTAAAATAAGAATGAATTACC